TCCTCTTTTGATGATGGCCCATTGAAAAGTCTTGCTTAAAAGGTCAGCATTGAATTTCATCTTTAATTCGAAATGAAATATTATTTATGTGAAGAGACTTGATAGATAAAGTGTGAGATTTCTGTACAGAAGCTAGCTACTGTGATTTTTGGCTAATTTATATGTACTACACCAACTGGGTTGCAGTTGTCTAATCAGGCCTATTCAGGCCTTTAAGAACTGCTCTTTCAAGATGTTAAAGTGTTTCCAGTTCTAGGGTTTGCCTAGTTTAATTTTGCGTTGTGTGCTCGTGTGTGTGCTTTCCGTTTCTCTTCTTTTGGGCTTTTGCCCTTTTATAACCAAAATAAATAAATAGACAAGTTTATGTGGCTGTGAGTTTGATTTGGCGAGTTGCTTCACTTGTTGCTCAAAAATGGCATTTGGATGAATTGGTAGCTGACAAGTCAGTCAGATGGGAAAACACGGCTAGTTTTTCCTGGAAACATCTGAGTACGAATCTATATAAGAACCACATTCTTTTATGGTACTATTGAAACAGGGATGGATGCTCTGCTTCTCTTTTTTTCCTTAACCCTGATAGTAAGTTCTTAGTAACTTCTTGTCAACCGTATTTTCACCATTTTATAGGAGCAATCTCTTTTCTCTTTTTTCGTTTTTTTCTTTTCAAATAATAGAAAATTGGAACAAAACATTTTGGGGGCATTTTGTGATGAAATGGTCCCTCCTGGGATATTTTTGGGAATGGGAAGAGGTGAAAGAAGCTACAGGCTATAATAACTGTCTTCCAAAAAATAATGACAATTTACTGTCACAAGATAAAAGCATGGAAAATTTTAATGTACATTGCTTAAAGCGTCCGTCTCCTGGCTATTTTTCGCTTATTTTATTGCCTTCATTTGTACTGGTGCAAACTATTGCTTGATGATATTTCTGTTTTGTATTAAATAAATAGATTAAATGTCAATCTTAATTTCTTTTTATATTAAATATATGGAATGTATGTCCATATTAGCTTGTAATGCTTTTTATTTTTCAACAGGCTACATCGGAAGTTGCAGATCCAGTACTTCCAGTTAGAATAAGGCAGTTCTTTAAGAGTGATATATCAAATGACCATCAGTCAATTCCTGTGAAGCATACAGTTCCCCGATTTTCAGTGCAGGTCAATGGAGATTTCAACCATGATTTGGTGATCAATCTATCTGCAGAAGAGTTATTAAGAGATATAGTTCAACAGGTTGTTCTGTTAATTCATCAAACGTCCCACATCCATACAAGCTCTTGCCAGGAGTATAAAACTTGTGGTACATTAGAAGGTCAATCAGAGATGGTTAATCACAGTCTAGATCATGGATCAGCTGATGCAAACAACAGTTTAAAACAGGGTCCTGATGAGTCTCTTCTTAAAGCTCATCCACCACCTAATAGAACAGTGAAAGGGAAATCAAGCTTGCTGCTAGCAATATCTTCATTTGGATATCAGATTCTGCGATATCCTCATTTTGCTGAGCTTTGTTGGTTTACTTCAAAACTCAAAGAAGGTCCCTCTGCTGACATAAGTGGACCTTGGAAGGGCTGGCCATTCAATTCTTGTATAGCTCGTCCTAATAACTCAATTGAAAAGGTAGCTGTTGGTTGTAGCTCCAGTAACATTAAAAGCAAAGAAAATTTTGTTCTAGTTAGAGGCCTGATTGCTGTCGGTTTGTCGGCATACAGAGGCGTCTACGCATCACTCAGAGAAGTCTCCTTTGAGATACGGAAGGTTCTTGAGCTTCTAGTTTTACAGATCAATGCAAAGATCCAGGGTGGGAAAGATAGATATCAATATGTTCGCCTTTTATCGCAAGTGGCCTATCTGGAAGACATGGTTAATAGCTGGGCTTACACGCTGCACAGGTAAGCTTATATTGCCATTAGTGTGGTTGTGGAATTATTTATTTATTTATTTTAATTTTGCTTTTCATGGGTTGTTATCTAACAATGATTGCTCCCATTTCAGTTTAGAGGTGGATGCTCCAATGAAAATGGAAAATGCTAAGCTAACCGATGTGAGACCCCTAGATGATCACCATGCGGACGATCAAGTTCAAAGTGAGGAACCCAAGCCAAATGGTACCAGCAAATGCTCTGATGGGCTTAAAGTGCCAGAAATTGACCCCCAAGGATTTGATAATGAAAAAGTTGGTAGTGTTGACTTAAATGAAGAATATGGTGATTTGAGTCATCCTAATTCTGAGGGTAGACTTGTAATTTCTGATTTGTCTGGACAGAAAATCGTCGTAATGAACTCTACTCTGGATAAATCTCTTCTTGATTCAGATGGAATTTTGAATGACCAAAATGGGACAAGCCCTAAACCACATGAGCCAGAAAAGGACAAGAACCATGTAGTTGGGAATGGCAATTCTGGATCCTTGAAACATTCAAATGGATTTGAATGCGCTGAATCTGTTGTCATTTCTGAGGATGGTTGTACCTGTGAAGAATTTGGCTGCGTTAAGCTCTGTAGTTCTAGTACCGTCTGCAATGAGCTTAATGGTTTGTCCTCAGTGGATGCTGGTATTGGACAGAGTGATGTCAAGTGTGATGCTGATAAGCATATTATGGATGTTGAAATCTTGAGCAAAACAAGTCTCTCTAGCGAGTCGGGGGTTCTATGCTTGTATCGTTGTTGCCCTACATGTCTAGATACCCTCCGCAGTTTGACACAGAAAATTCTTATTCACAAATGGGGATCAAATAGGAGCCTATGGACTGCAGAGGATGTTCATGATATTGTTGCATCAGTGTCTGTGGATCTTCTTGCAGCAGTTAGAAGAATGAATGTTTCTGGAGGTTCCAGCAACTTATTGGATGATAAAATGAGAGACGGAAATAATGAGAGGTTTGAATGGCCGGAAACAATTACATGCCATTGCAAAACTTCAGGAAATAAAAGTCTTTTGCCAGTGGAATGCAGATGCCACACCATCAGCGAGAGCACCCCAACAAAAGAAAATGCTTCCCCGAATACTCATCTCAGGCTTGATTCAAACTTTATTTTCAGAGATGGTGTACTGGTTCATATGGATCCTGACAAGGATGTTTCTTTTCACTGTAAATTCGAGACCCTATGCCTCTGTTCACTTATAGAGTTGATAGTAATGAGCAAGCAGCCTTTTCATTGATTTGATCATTTCGCAGCGTGGATTTGCTTACCCTGTGGCAAAGTTTTGTGCCGTTGCGGAATTTAGATGTGAAAATTTTATCGAGTCGTTGAAAATGAAATTAATAGTTATTGGCTTGGTAGGTCTAAACTTCTCTACAAGTTCCTTTTGGAGTTTTGATTCTCCTTGAGGAGCTAATCTTCCTGTAATTAGCACATTTGGACACTATTCTTTCATTCATTTTCTCATAGTTATAGTTGGACCTGGGAATTATGTGGTTTTGTTACGAACACTTAACAACAAGTTTTTCTTTCAAAAATATGTAATATAAAGTATTTAAGATGTTTTTGGGATAGATATATTATTCAAAATGGTCTCAGACAAGACTGATCATATGCCCAATCAAACAAACATATGATCCAAAAATGTCCTGGAAGTTTTTACTGGCTTTCTCCGCACAAACTTTAATTCCATAAGGCTGAATCAACACTTGCAACTTTGGATGCACTCTCATCTAGTTATTTTGATTATATATAATAAAATTAATATGTTTATTTCCCACAATACATTATACATGACTCTGAGATACATAATAGTGAATAAAGATACAATTTACCGCTGATATATTCTTTTGTTTTTAATTTAGATTATGAAATATCGCAAAAATCTTCAATGAAGAATATACTGCTCGGTTCAAATGCCCACCCCTAATCACCTCCATCAAATAAGTTTATTTGAGGGACACCCTTGTATGGTGCACCTCGCATTGTATTTCAATTACTTGAATCCGAATCTATTTAACCACTCAATTAAAACAAGAAAATTGGTGTTCTTAATCACTTGAGCTATAAGACCCTTGCAATCTTCTTCTATTTAAGCAAGAAAATGGGTATTGTAATGGAGACATTATCAATTTAATGAATTCCTAATGATCCGATTAAGAGCGGATCTACATGGATGAAAATTAGCAATGTCATGGTTAGAACCCAAAAATAGGGGTACCAACATTAACATATCAGCACTATTAACAGTACTGAAAATTCGACTTTTATTCCCTTATTGTATTGTAGCACATATAACAACAATACAAAGCTTTTTCTTGGTGCAATGAGCGAAAGTAATTTCCCATTATTACAGAGCTCTGTCAGATCCTGGACAAGCTTATCAACATAGCCACTTTTGTTGACGTGAGTCTCTTAATTAATAAAGGAGATTTATTTCTTTGATTAATTAAGATATTTACTTTCCTATTTTTTTATATTATATAATTGATAAATCATATCATTGTACAATTAGGAGATACTTTCCTAATTCTTTACTGTATCTAATTCATCGTAAAGCCTACATGTAAACTCTTATTAAATTTAGGTTTTAGCCACAAAAAAACTTTTATTTTTGGAAAAAGTCAAAACTTTTCCAAAAAAGACAGAAAACCTCTTAACTTTCAAACCAAAGACATGCAAATGTAAATGATTCCTTAGGAAATCCAAAAATAAATAAGGGCATTTTTGTCCATTTTGGCTTCTTTTCAAAATATTTCTCTCTCATTTGGCTTTTTTTAAACTCTTATATATACCTCCTTATGGAGAAGAATAAAGTCAACCTAATACATTCAAACCATATTCATATTTTAGCATGGTATCAGAGCAATCGATCCTCAGTTGTCTCTAAATTTTCATATCAAATTTCTTCACACACAAACTCTAAATCCTCATATCAAATTTCTTCAAACACAAACTCTAAATCATATTCCTCATATTAATCTTTCCCAAATTCAAATCTCTATACACATCCCTCATATCTTCAAATTCCTAAACACATATTTTTGTTCTACCCTTAAATTCTTCCGCCGCCATGGATGTCATCTCTTCTTCCAAAACCACCAACACCACTCCACCATCATTCCAAATTGTTACTATTCACAGTGACAATGCTCCGTTCCCGACTAGCATCACCTTGACTAAAACCAATTATGCCTTATGGTCTCAAGTCATGGACATGTGTATTGCTGCCCGTGAAAAATTGGGGTACCTCACTGGTGACGCCCCGCAACCTTCTAAGCTCTCCTCCACCTACATCAAATGGTGTACGGAGAACTTTCGGGTCAAGGGGTGGCTCATAGACTCCATGTCACTCGACTTGATGAGTTGTTTCATCCATTTAAGTACCGCCAAAGAAATCTAGGATGCCGTGAAGAAAACCTACTTTGATGGCGGGGATGAAACTTATCTTTTTTATCTCAACAAACGGGCATTCTCCATTAAACAGAATGGTGCACCTGTCCACAAATACTACAGCCAGTTGCAGACCATCTTCTAGGAGATTGATCACTGCACTTCGAATCACATGCATTGCAACGTCGACGTGACTGAAAGTCAAACTGAACTGGATCGTCTTCGTGTTCACCTTTTTCTTGCTGGCCTAGACCCTCAATTTGATCAAGTCCGAGGGGAAATTCTGCACAAAGATCTCAAATTAGACCTTGACCAAACCTTTGCCTATGTCCGTCGCAAAGCTCAACAAAGACTGACCATGACCAGTATTCTAGACACTGCGGTCCTGGCCACTCAACATCCACGGGGCCCTTCTTCTTCTTCTAGTGGTGCTTCTTAGACTCAAGTCACAAGCTCTCATCTGGAGCACAAATGCACTCACTGTGGTGGAAGCAAATATACCCGTGCTGGCTGTTACAAATTGATTGGGTACCCGGATTGGTGGGACCACTTCAAAGCTCCCTGTAAGAATAGGAGCAAATCACTCAACACATCCTCCACCTCAGATCTTGTAAGTCCTGTTGTTTCGACTGCACCAGCTCCTGCCTCTGCCTCTATAGCCACAATAGGTACCCAAGGTTATGTTTTACATAGTTCTTCACAAAAACACACATGGGTCATTGACACCAAAGCCACTATCACATGACCTTTGATCCTGGACAAATTACCTCTCATACACCGGCCTCTCAATCGGTGGTGTCTAATGCCAATGGTACCCCCTCTCCAGTAATTGGGAGGGTTCCCTCTCTCTCTCTAACTCCCTCACTTTGGATTATGTGTTGATTATTCCATCCTTACACCATAATCTCTTGTCTGTTCCCCAAATTACTACGGCTTTGAATTGCACTGTAACCTTTTGGCCTACTCATAGTGTTTTCCAGGACATTCTCAGCAGCAAGACGATTGGTTGTGGTACTAGGAAGGGCAAACTCTACTATCTGGACTTGGCATCTGACAGTGAAGTCAGCCTAATTCAAGCTTACACAATTGGGGGTGCGAGTGTTGAGAAGAAAACTTCAGAAGTATGGTTATGGCATCGCCGTCTTGGACATGCTTCATTTGGATATTTACAAAAACTATTTCCTTCCTTATTTTTCGATTTAGATAATTCTAGTTTTAAGTGTGACATTTATGAACTGGCCAACAGCCATCATGTTCCTTTTCCCTTAAGTTCAAATAAAAGTTTGGTTCCCTTTTCTCTTGTTCATTATGATGTTTGGGGCCCTGCTAAAATTACCACACCAGGGGGAGCTAGATGGTTTATCACGTTTATTGATGATTGCACACGTATGACCTGGGTTTCTCTTCTCAAAACAAAAGGGAAAGTCAGTTCCAAGTTTCGACAGTTCTATCAAATGGTGGAAACACAATTTCGTACTCGAATTCAGGTTCTTCGTTCCGACAATGGCGGAGAATTTCACAACCATAATCTTAATCAGTTCTTCCAAGATCATGGCATCATCCATCAATGCTCATGTCCTTATGTTCACCCGTTTTGTGTTTACTCTTGTGATGGAATGGTAAAGTTCCCCATTGCCTTGAAAACCATTGACTGGTCAACAAGTCAACTTTCTTTAGTGTGCGAGCGTGCCACTACTAGCAATAAAAATCATAGCAGACTTCTTAGGAATAGATAACTTGCACCCCAAGTTACTGATTTCTAAACAAGCAATTGTGAATTTGGGTGGGGAATATCTCCCTAGTAAGTTATTTTTTTGTCTCAGACTGGTGAGGACTTCACAATTTTTCAGAGTACAAGGTTGGTAGTTCTGGCCAGTATAAATAGTAAGAGAACGAACTGTTTTCAGGCGGAACTGACTTTTACAAAACTCTACAGTAAAAAATCAACTCTAGAAAGACAAAAAGAAGGCTGGGTTTCCATTTCTGCCTGGACAGAAGCTTCTGATCCGGGCTGGACTAGATATGCCTGTGCTGGATTGGACTGTTCCCAACTTTAACTGCTAAGCTTTAGCTGTAAATCGATACCAAAGTTTAAGTTTGGTAGAGCTTTAATCTATTTCGAGCCCTGGGAGGCTTTTTGAATGGGCAGAATTGCGGCCTTTTCAATCTGGAGGGGGCAGAAGTGGCTGGACTTGCGGATTACTGAGCTGGAATTGCATTGTGGTACCTGTTCTGCTTGATCAGGGCTCTCCATAAATTTGTTGAGATTTTCATATTTGTAAACACTCAAACTCTGCTTGTTTTGGTTTTTTGCTTAACCAAATTTGTGACGAGAGAAATCTTGTTTTGAATGACTTATTTCTCTTAAGTCCGAATTGTAAGTTCTGATTTATGGCTGGCTTCTTCTGGGGCTCGAATGGGTTTTTGTTTGCTTCAGTTTGTTTGAAGGTTCTCAGAGATCAAGTGATCATTTTGAGTTTTTGTCTTTGGTTGATTTTTTGGTTGTTTGATTGATTGTGTTTTGCTTTGTTCACCCTCTCTTATATTTATAGGGAATGCTAGAATAAGATTTCTAATCTTTTAATAATGGGCGGCAAAAATTCTCAAAAGATCTTTCATTTTTAAATGTAAAGAAAAAAAGGGTTTTATCAATTTTGGCAGATAAGCTCTCAATAGTTAGTTCCTATGGCAATCACTTCCCTGTATTTTTTGAAAAAGAATCTAACCCATCTTTAATTCCAACTACCCCTGTAAGAGTTCAATCTGTGATGGTTAGTTTGATTTTCCAGTTTGAACAACTTCCTGTTTCCTACTTATCTTTTTTTAGAAAACATAGCATGTGTTATCCCTTGAAAGATGGTGCCTTCTTTGGAGTAGAAACAATATCTCTAAATATATAAAAGGGATTTCAGAGATGTGCCTTCTAGTGGTAGAGATTTCAAAGATGTCCCTTTTTTTTGCCTGCCCTTGTCAACTCTTTATTATCCCAGTTTAAAAATATTGATTTTTCAAAGTTCTTTCAGGCAATCACGTGGGTCTGCCTCTGATTTTTTGGGCTTTTCTCTTTAATCATGCCAAGCCCAGTTTTGGTTTTCTTTAAAGCCCAAGTCATTCTCATGTTTCGGTAGGTTCTGGGCTGGGCTTTCTTTGATTTGGGCTCTTGATTTCGATTATAGTCCATACCGCCTAGGTCTGATTTTGCCTCGTCCTTTTGGGCCTCCAGTGTTGGGTTGAGTGTGTAATCTTCGGCCCAATTTATAAGGGAATGCTGGTGGCTGTCAAAAATTATCATGGGCTTTTGTTCTCTTGGGCTGGGTATGCCAAATTAGGCCCAAACACCTTACACTCCTTACAGAATGGTGTGGTTGAACGAAAGAATAGACACTTGTTGGAAGTAGTTCGTGCCTCTCTTTTTGGTGCCAATATGCCTAGGCCCTTTTGGGGAGAAGCTATCCTTTCTGCAGCATACCTTAGCAATAGGATTCCCTCCAATATCCTAAATTTCAAAACCCCAATTGAAACACTCCACCACCATATCCAAATACCTCCTACCCAAAACCTGGAACCTCGAATTTTTGGTTGTGTGGTCTTTGTCCACTTACATGATCATCCTCCTAGTCAGCAGGTCTATACTTCTATGGATGTTGTGTTTCGGGAACATGACGTATATTTCTAGCTGTACAAGAAGAGGATCGTGATGCCAAAACTTCTTACATTTCAAAAAAATTTCGTTCAAAATCGTCACAAACTGAAAACGACCGGTCGTAAGATGCGAGCGACCGGTCGCTCGAGACTCTGCCTAAAAAACGACAAATCACAAGTTGAAAACGACCGATCTCCCGAGACTCTGCCTAAAAACGACCGGTAGCAGGTTGAAAGCGACTAGTTGCCACTTGAAAATCCGAATCTGCTTCAAAACGACCGGTCGTCAGAGGACCGCAACCGGTTGTCTCCCTACTGTCAAACTCAGGAGGAGAAAATTGAGGAGTTTTTACCCGCTCATGAGAATTCTTCAGCTCCAGTACCACACCAATCACCTGCTAGGTACGTCATTCAGGTAACATCCTTTCCTGAAACTAATAACATTAATGAAATATCCCATAATGATTTAATTTCATAATGCACAAAGCCTGCATATCAGATTCCAAAACGGAAGAACCATGGAAAACCTCAAGTTCACTACGAAACAGACCTTAATGCAAACGGAAAATATCCCATCAACAATTATGTATCCATCAGCAGATTATTAGAGTCATGGGTACACTTTGTGAAGCAGTTGGCCGACATAACTGTTCCCAACAGTGTAACTGAAGCACTAGAAGACTCAAAATGGAAAAAAGCCATGAATGAAGAAATGCGAGCTCTCCAGAAGAATGGCACATGGGAACTTGTGTCATTACCTCATGGAAAGAAGACAGTGGGATGCAGGTGGATTTATACTGTGAAACTCAAAGCAAATGAATCTATTGAAAAATATAAAACTAGATTGGTGGCGAAGGGGTACACACAAAGATATAGGATAGACCAAGAGACTTTTGCCCTCGTAGCCAAGATTAAAACTATAAGAGTTCTTCTATCTTTAGCAGCAAATCTCGATTGGCCATTACATCAGTTTGATGTAAAAAAATGCATTCTTACATGGAGACTTGGAAGAAGAAGTATATATGGACTTGCCACTAGGATGTAACTTAGCTCGTGACAAGGAGAATAAAGTTTGCAAGCTCAGAAAGTCATTGTATGGGTTAAAGCAATCCCCCAGGGCATGGTTTGATAGATTCACTAAATCCATGAAGAATTTTGGATATATACAAAGTAATACAAATCACACTTTGTTCTTGAAGGGTGTTGGAAAAAGACTTACTACATTGATTGTTTATGTGGATGACATAGTCGTAACTGTAAACGACACAGAATAACAATTGAAACTGCAGAAGTATTTGTCTCAGGTATTTGAGATGAAGGATCTAGGTGATCTGAAGTACTTTCTAGGAATTGAAGTAGCCAGGTCCAGCTGGTATATTTTTGTCTCAAAGGAAGTATGTATTAGATCTGCTCACTGAAACATGAATGCTTAGATGCAAACCTGCTGCTACACCCATCGAGATGAATCACAAGTTATGTATAGACATGGATCAAGAACCAACCAATGAGGAACAGTACCAACGCCTTGTTGGAAGGTTGATATATTTAGCTCACACAAGACCAAATATTGCATATGCTATGAGTGTGGTTAGTTAATTTATGCATTCACCTAGTGTGTCCCATAGGAATGCAGTTGATCGGATCTTAAGATACTTAAAGTCAGTACCTGGAAAATGATTAATGTTCTCAAAAAATAGAGATCTCAAAGTTGTTGGATATACAGATGATGATTGGGCTGGCTCCGTTACAGACATACGCTCTACTTCAGGTTACTTCACTTTTGTGGGAAGTAACCTAGTCACTTGGCGGAGTAAGAAATAAAATGTGGTTTCTCGGTCTAGTGTTGAAGCAGAGTATCGAGGAATGGCTCATGGAGTTTGTGAATTACTGTGGATCAGAAGACTGTTGACAGAATTGGGTTTCAAGCCAAAAAAGCCAATGGAGTTACATTGTGATAACAAGTCAACCATTGGTATTGCCTATAATCCAGCTCAACATGATCAAACTAAACATGTTGAGGTGGATAGACATTTTATCAAAGAAAAAATTTAGAAGAAGATCATCCGCCTACCATTCGTAAGATCCATAGATCAATTAGCAGATATCTTAGCCAAAGCTGTTTGTAGAAGAGTATTTCATGACTCACTTACCAAGTTGGGCATTGGTGACGTATATGCCCCCAACTTGAGGATGAGTGTTGACGTGAGTCTCCTAATTAATCAAGAAGATTTATTTCCTTGATTAATTAAGGGATTTATTTTCCTATTTTTTTATAATTGATAAATCATTATACAATTAGGAGATACTTTCATAATTCTTTAATGTATCTAATTCCTTGTAAAGCTCACATGTAAACTCTTATATATACATCCTTATAGAGAAGAATAAAGTTAACCTAATACATTCAAACAATATTCATATTTTAGCAACTCTTAAGCTTTGGGTCAGATAGGATTTTCCTCCACTTTGCATGGTTCTTCATCACCATAACACCCACCTCATTGTCTTTATCCATAACAGTTGTAACGGCTTTGCTCAAGCTCTCCTTTGAAAACGATCCATTTTCTTCTCTCTACCAATGTTTTAAAAGGCAAAGCGTAGAGGCGAGACGTTTTTAGTCCGCTATACGAGACGTAAGCCTTAAAGCATTGAGGCGTAAGCCTTTCGAACATTAATTTATTTTAATTAAAAAAATTATAAATAATACAATACATATTAATTGTACTACTAATTCTTATTAAGCTAGAATATTCTATAAAAAAATATAAGTACTAAATGTCATCAAGCATAATAATCAATCTCAAAACATAAAATACTTATTCAACATCAAAAGAAAAACTAAATTCATGCATCCCACTCCTCATCATAAAACATAAAATGCTATGATTTTCACAATTTATGTGGTTAAGAGCTATCAACTTCCACCACTCACTCTCTATCTTGTCCTGTGCCGCGCCAAAACCCCTTTCCCCATTGTCGGTAGTGTTATACATGACACATGAATAACTGCAAGCAAATGTGGCCCATGACTTTTGTTTATACAGATTGATCACTTGCTATAAAGCAGAGGGTGCGCTTTCTCTTCACCCCAATATACGTGAATAACAGGCTCTGATCCCATGAAAAAAAAATTTCTAGTTCAAAATTAATTAGCAATGAGGGAGTAATTTAACTTCTTATAAACCCATGTTAGGTCCTTTGATATTTCAACATATAGGACTGGCTAGAACCCGCTATGAACTTAAAGCAACATGCATGCTTAAATTGTGAGATTGTTGCATACCTTGGTTAATAGTTGTGAACTTTGTTTGTTTGTAAATCCAAGTCTAGGAGAGAATCTAAGTAGAACGACAACTATTGTCCATTAGTTTGTGTGCCACTTGAGCACATGGATAACTAGACTACTCATTCTTGGACCTATGTGGTCCGGCATATACCCATTGCTCGATCTCATGAAAATCATTGAAGGGTAATTTAATTAGTCTTTTCATCACATTAAAATATCCTATTTTTCATGGTCCTACATTAAATAATACTCAAACATGGAGAAATTTCTAGGAGTATTCTATAAAAATAAAAAATAAAAGAAAAGGGATCCCGGGTCATCCCTGAATGAAATCTAAAGTTATGAAATGTTCAATTTTTTGGTATTTAATGATTATTCTTACACAACATGAACGAAATGGAAACAGTCTAATTACATAAATGCAGTGAAACTAAGAGATGGATAAGAGTTATTTACACTAACACCCCTTGAGTGTTTTCACAAAACCTCTTGAAGTTTCAAAAATTACACAAACAACTCTTTACTTGAATTTTATATTATTTTCACAAAACCTCTGATGGATAATTAAAGTACTCATTCTTGGATAACTAGAACGATCATATATATATGTGTGGTTGTGGTTTAGCTAAAAAAGATTCATATATGTGTGGTGCACAAGTACAAATCCCACTTTCTTAAAAACGAAATGAATCACTTGTGTGACCTTCAAGATGTGATCTGACCTTCAATATTTTAAGATCATAGACCATGTATCAAATGAGCTCCATCCAACAATATTCGTAAAATTGAACACACTAAAATATAAGACAACTCAATACAAGGAGGAAGGAAGCAACAACGAGACTAGTTAAAAATTAACTTACAAGCTCTTTCAGCTTCTGAACAAACCTATCAATATAGCCATCCATAAACCCGGGAGTTGATAGTGTTTCCCTCCACTTTGCATGGTTCTTCTTCACCATAACACCCACTTCATTGTCCTTATCCATAACGGTTGTAATGGCTTTGCTCAAGCTCTCTTTCGAAAACCATCCATTTTCTTCTCTCTCTACCTCCACAGCAACTTTGAGATCTTTAACCAGTATCTTGGTGTTTAATATATGGTCAGCACCGTGTGGAACCAGCACAATCTGATTGTTAGTCACCAAAGACTCCCACAATGCCCCAAAGCCACAATGGCTCACAAAGCACCCAACTGATGGGTGGCTCAAAATCAATGTCTGCTGCACCCAACCACCAAACACCACCCCTCTCCCTTTAACTCTCTCTTCAAACCCTTGTGGCAATGCCTCTTCAATCGTAGCACAACCCACAGGTGGTTTTAGAGCTACAAAAATGGCAGCCCAGTTAGCTCAAATCCTAACACAAGCTCTTGAAATTGGTCCTTTTCAAGCACCCACTGGCTTCCAAATCCACAAAACACCACAGATTCTGGTTCAAACCCAGAAAACCAATTAGCCCAGATGTCTTCTAATTGTTCACTCTTCTTGTTGTTCTTATTATTAGAGTCCATCACGCCCAAAACAGGGCCAGTTAAAAGGACAGGCTTTTTGTACTGTGCTTCCAGGTAATCGCAAAACACCCCTTCGACTTCTCTGCATGTTCTGATGCAAAACGCATCACATCCTTTCACAGCGGTCGTGAGCCGCTCATAAAAATTGATCCCATCTCCGTACGGCATCGTACTGAACATCAAGGACTGGACTTCGCGACCAGGAAGCATTACCACAGTCGATGATGGGTACCCAGGAGGTGGGTCCCGTAGATCTTCCTCAGTCACAGGCCTGTCTTTGGGCATGTTTCGTGCCGGCACAATAATCATCGCAGTTATCGCAGCACAAGCAACGCCGTAGCAAAAGCACTTAATTCCAAGCCCTCTTGTAATTTCTGGTACCCAATGAGCAAAGTCATAGAAAATCATATCGACTTTACGATCATTGACACCACAACTTACTAGGAAGCCTTGTATTTGCTGACGAGTGCGGTCCATGGCAGTCGCTAGCAAGGGGGTCAAAGATATTGGGATGTCAGAGGCAGTCTCAGTGCCTTCAGGGAGGCCTTCAATGTGAGGAACAGTGACTGAACAAAAGGCGATGAGGTGGGGGTGGAGGTTGAGATGTTGAAGCTGAATTTGAGCTTTTTTGGGCAGCAAGAAAGAGATTCTATGGCCTCTTGCTGCGAGCTCGTTAGAGAGGTGAAGGAAAGGGATGGAGTGTCCCATTGCAAACCATGGGAACATGGCTATGTGAAAATTTGATGAGCTCGTCTCATTGAGATTAGGTTGCGCCATTTGATCAACTTTTGTGCTAGCTCTTGTATGTGTCCCCTATGCTTTTATATCTCGAATAATTGGGAGGGGGTTGCTTGATAAATTACTGAAATCATTCTTGTTATTTATAAGGCCAATATTAAAATTGGAGTTGAATAGAGAGAGTATGATTGGAGTATGATTTTTCCAATTACTCTCTAAAGTTTGTCTAAGAATGTGACTTGGAGAACCCGTAGTAGATCCAACATCTGATCACCCAAGTGCGAGAAAAGATATATTATGAGTTACCTGCTACCTGAAAAAAAAAAAAAAAAAAAAAAAAAAAAAAAGGGGAAAAAAGTAAAAAACACGTCACCTCATTCTCTGTGTCTGTGTCTTGTCCTCCTTTTGTCCCTTTAGTTAGCAGTGGATACTTTAATAATTGTACTCGTGCGGGCCATATCTTTGTTGGATTGGCCACTTGTGAAACACACCGGATCATAATGACATGCCAAAAATACTCTTTTCTGGGTCAAATCAAAAAAACTCCTTTGAGCATTTACAGTGGGTATGTAAATTCAGAGATGTAAAATTACTTTTACATCCCCTTTATACCTTCAGGGGGTGTAAATATGTTTTTTGTTCTAATGAGAGGTGTAAATTCGGGGGTGTAGCCATGGGTCCCAGCCTTTTATGTTGACTTTTCTTATTTTTCTTATCTTTTCTTGGGTGGGTCCCGCCTGCAAGGAATGTAAAAATATATGTAAATATAAATTTTATTTTACATCCCCATGGTGGTGATGTATATTTACATCCATTTACATTTCTTCATTGAAGATGATTCCGGTGACTCGGGGTGTATATTTAACATACACCCTCCACTATGGATGCTCTTATGGAGCTTTTGATTTTGATTTGATTTTATTTGATTTTATTTTTTTGTCGAAATTCATTTCATTGCAAACCCAAAAGGAGTCAGGGACGACTACAAAAGCAGGGTCGAAAGACACCAGCCAGGAAGTAACAATACAAAAATAAGGGGAAGATCTAACTATAAAACCAAAGCCCATCCTTGTGAATTGTATGTAACTGCAGGCCAAGGAAATAGTGCAGAACATCCAAATTCTTGATCTCAAACTCTTTAGTTGAATAACAATCATTGAGCACCCAATCTTGCATGCAACAATGCATACTATATGACTATTATATCTTTTGTTACCTGTAGCTCCTCTTGCACAGCTCCACTTCATCAAAGTTGTCTTTTTTTGTTTTTCCTTTTATCTTCTGGACTGAAGAATTATGGATCATACAATATGGCCAATATATGTTCTTCACAAAATGTTTGTACACTCTGTATAAAATCATTCTAACCATTATTTCTCAACTCATGAAGCTCCATTTTTGTACTTTCAACCAAATTCAAAGCCCTTATAGTGTTTTGAGATTTTCTTTGAAGTTCTAGGTAAAGAAAATCAGTGAATCTTATAGTTTTGTCCAACAAATGTAAGGCAAAAACAAAGTCAAAAGACAACATAGAAATTTTAATACATTCTGCTTCGCCAAGAAATTGTGAGGTAGGTCCATTCTGACTGATATCTTTTAGAAGTGTCTTTGTTGCCCAAATAAATCAATCAAACTCCTAATATAATTAAAATGTGAGCCCCAACAAGTACTTATAGGTCGTTGCAAACAACGAATTTGATTAACCCCTTTACCTGTTCCAACTCTTCCAGATGCTGGATAAGCATATTACGGATGTTGAAATCTTGAGCAAAACAAGTCTCTCTAGCGAGTCTGGGGTTGTATGCTTGTATCGCTGTTGCCCTACATGTCTAGATACCCTCCGCAGTTTGACACAGAAAATTCTTATTCACAAATGGGGATCAAATAGGAGCCTATGGACTGCAGAGGATGTTCATGATATTGTTGCATCAGTGTCAGTGGATCTTCTTGCAGCAATTAGAAGAATGAATGTTTCTGGAGGTTCCAGCAACTTATTGGATGATAAAATGAGAGACGGAAATAATGAGAGGTTCGAATGGCCGGAAACAATTACATGCCATTGCAAAACTTCACGAAATAAAAGTTTTTTGCCAGGGGAATGCAGATGCCACACCATCAGCGAGAGCACCCCAACAAAAGAAAATGCTTCCCCGAATACTCATCTCAGGCTTGATTCAAACTTTATTTTCAGAGATGGTGTACTGGTTCATATGGATCCTGACAAGGATGTTTCTTTTCACTGTAAATTCGAGACCCTATGCCTCTGTTCACTTATAGAGTTGATAGTAATGAGCAAGCAGCCTTTCATTGATTTGATCATTTCGCAGCGTGGATTTGCTTACCCCGTGGCAAAGTTTTGTGCCGTTGCGGAATTTAGATGTGAAAATTTTATCGAGTCGTTGAAAATGAAATTAATAGTTATTGGCTTGGTAGGTCTAAACTTCTCTACAAGTTCCTTTTGGAGTTTTGATTCTCCTTGAGGAGCTAATCTCCCTGTAATTAGCACATTTGGACACTATTCTTTCATTCATTTTCTCATAGTTATAGTTGGACCTGGGAATTATGTGGTTTTGTTACGAACACTTAACAATAAGTTTTTCTTTCAAAAATATGTAATATAAAGTATTTAAGATGTTTTTGGGATAAATATATTATTCAAAATGGTCTCAGACAAGACTGATTATATGCCCAATCAAACAAACATATGATCCAAAAATGTCCTGGAAGTTTTTACTGGCTTTCTCCGCACAAACTTTAATTCCATAAGGTTGAATCAACATTTGCAACTTTGGATGCACTCTCATCTAGTTATTTTGATTATATATAATAAAATTAATATGTTTATTTCCCACAATACATGACTCTGAGATACATAATAGTGAATAAAGATACAATTTACCGCTGATATATTCTTTTGTTTTTAATTTAGATTATGAAATATCGCACAAATCTTCAATGAAGAATATACTGCTCGGTTCAAATGCCCATCCCTAATCATCACCATCAAATAAGTTTATTTGAGAGACACCTTTATATGGTCCACCTCGCATTGTATTTCAATTACTTGAATCCGAATCTATTTGACCACTCAATTAAAACAAGAAAATTGGTGTTTTTAACCACTTGACCTACAAAACCCTTGCAATCTTCCTATATTTAAGCAAGAAAATGGGTGTTGTGATGTAGACATTATCAATTTAATGAATTCCTAATGATCCGATTAAGAGCAGATCTACATAGATGAAAATTAGAAATGTTGTGGTTAGAACCCAAAAATAGGGGTATCAACATTAACATATCAGCACTACTAACAGTACTGAAAATAAACTTTTATTCCCTTATTTGTATTGTAGCAAATATAACAACAATACAAAGCTTTTTCTTGGTGCAAGGAGCGAAAGTTATTTCCCATTATTACAGAGCTCTGTCAGATCCTAGACAAGCTTATCAACATAGCCACTCTTAAGCCCTGGGTCAGATAGGATTTTCCTCCACTCTGCATGGTTCTTCTTCACTATAACAGCCACCTCATTGTCTTTATCCATAACAGTTGTAATGGCTTTGCTCAAGCTCTCCTTTGATTTTGTTGACCATGGCAATAGAGAGCTTGAGCAAAGCCGTTACAACTGTCATTGATTTAGTCAACAACACTGCTTTTTTAGGAACCCTTGGATTGGTCACGGGTGACGTCCATGGCAATAGAGAGCAACATGGATGTTGGGATATCGGAGGCAATCTCAGTGCCGTCAGGGAGGCCTTCAATGTGAGGAAAGGTGATTGTATGGAAGGTGATGAGATTTGGGTGGAGATTGAGATGTTGAAGCTCAAGTTGAGCTTTTTTGGGCACTAAGAAAGAGATCCTATGGCCTCTGGCAGCGAGCTTGTTAGAGAGGTTTGGAGGAAAGGGGTGATGTGTCCCATTGCAAACCATGGGAACATGGCTATTTGAAAATTATTTGAGCTCTGATTGGGCTGCGCCATTTGATTAACTTTTGTGCTAGCTCTTGTATGCCTGTGTTCCTTCTCGTTTGATCCAAGATCTCAAAGAACCTATAATATGTATGTGGCTATGAGGTTAATTAACTTATGAGGCTTACCACAGTCACTCTCATGACTGACACATACATGCAATAATTGAAATAATTGTGACTCATAAACCTAGGAGAAATTTTTCTATGTGACCATAACATCATGTAATATGTTCCGATGTTCGCATAATGTGACTAAATATTGTCTCAAATTATAGCATTTGATAGGTGATATGTTTATGCTTCAACGTAATAATATCTCACTGTTTAGTCTGTCACAGCTTTAATATAAGCTTTTTCCAAGCTCTCCTTTGAAAAACGCCCATGCATTTTCTTCCGTTTCTACTTAACAAAACAACCTTGAGCTTTTTAAGAGTAGCTTAACGTTTAAGATCCGGTCATCCAAAAGTGTGCCAGAACAGTATGTGGTTAAGAGCTATCAACTACCACCACTCACGCTCTATCTTGTCCTCCTCCAACCACCAACCCCCACCCCCCAACCCCAAAAACCCCTTTCCCATTGTCGGTAGTGTTATACATGACAGATGAATAACTACAAGCAAATGTGCCCCATGACTTTTGTTTATACAGATTGATCGCGTGCTATAAAGTAGAGGGTGCGCTTTCTCTTCACCCCAATATACGTGAATAACAGGCTCTGATCCCATGAAAAAAAAATTTCTAGCTCAAAATTAATTAGCAATGAGGGAGTAATTTAACTTCTTATAAACCCATGTTAGGTCCTTTGATATTTCAACATATAGGACTGGCTAGAACCCGCTATGAACTTAAAGCAACATGCATGCTTAAATTGTGAGATTGTTGCATACCTTGGTTAATAGTTGTGAACTTTGTTTGTTTGTAAATCCAAGTCTAGGAGAGAATCTAAGTAGAACGACAACTATTTCCCTTACTTTGTGTGACACTTGAGCACGTGGATAACTAGACTACTCATTCTTGGACCTATGTGGTCCGGCATATACCCATTGCTCGATCTCATGAAAATCATTGAAGGGTAATTTAATTAGTCTTTTCATCTCATGAAAATATCCTATTTTTCATGGTCCTACATTAAATAATACTCAAACATGGAGAAATTTCTAGGAGTATTCTATAAAAATAAAAAATAAAAAAAATGAAAAGAAAAGGGATCCCGGATCATCCCTGAATGCAATCTAAAGTTATGAAATGTTCAATTTTTTGGTATTTAATGATTATTCTTACACAACATGAACAAAATGAAAACAGTCTAATTACATAAATGCAGTGAAACTAAGAGATGAATAAGAGTTATTTACACTAACGCCCCTTGAGTGTTTTCACAAAACCTCTTGAAGTTTCAAAAATTACACAAACTCTTTACTTAAGTTTTATATTATTTTCACAAAACCTCTAATGGATAATTAAAGTACTCGTTCTTGGATAACTAGAACGATCATATATATGTGTGGTGTGGTTTAACTAAAAAAGATTCATATATGTGTGGTGCACAAGTACAAATCCCACTTTCTTAAAAACGAAATGAATCACTTGTGTGACCTTCAAGATGTGATCTGACCTTCAATATTTTAAGATCATAGACCATGTATCAAATTGAGCTCCATCCAACAATATTCGTAAAATTGAACACACTAAAATATAAGACAACTCAATACAAGGAGGAAGGAAGCAACAACGAGACTAGTTAAAAATTAACTTACAAGCTCTTTCAGCTTCTGAACAAACCTATCAATATAGCCATCCATAAACCCGGGAGTTGATAGTGTTTCCCTCCACTTTGCATGGTTCTTCTTCACCATAACACCCACTTCATTGTCTTTATCCATAACGGTTGTAATGGCTTTGCTCAAGCTCTCTTTCGAAAACCATCCATTTTCTTCTCTCTCTACCTCCACAGCAACTTTGAGATCTTTAACCAGTATCTTGGTGTTTAATATATGGTCAGCACCGTGTGGAACCAGCACAATCTGATTGTTAGTCACCAAAGACTCCCACAATGCCCCAAAGCCACAATGGCTCACAAAGCACCCAACTGATGGGTGGCTCAAAATCAATGTCTGCTGCACCCAACCACCAAACACCACCCCTCTCCCTTTAACTCTCTCTTCAAACCCTTGTGGCAATGCCTCTTCAATCGTAGCACAACCCACAGGTGGTTTTAGAGCTACAAAAAATGGCAGCCCAGTTAGCTCAAATCCTAACACAAGCTCTTGAAATTGGTCCTTTTCAAGCACCCACTGGCTTCCAAATCCACAAAACACCACAGATTCTGGTTCAAACCCAGAAAACCAATTAGCCCAGATGTCTTCTAATTGTTCACTCTTCTTGTTGTTCTTATTATTAGAGTCCATCGCGCCCAAAACAGGGCCAGTTAAAAGCACAGGCTTTTTATACTGTGCTTCCAGGTAATCGCAAAAAACACCTTCCACTTCTCTGCATGTTCTGATGCAAATCGCGTCACATCCTTTCTTAGCGGTCATGAGCCGCTCATAAAAAGTGATCCCATCTCCATACGGCATCGTAATGAACATCAAGGACTGGACTTCGCGACCAGGAAGCATTACCACAGTCGATGATGGGTACCCAGGAGGTGGGTCCCGTAGATCTTCCTCAGTCACAGGCCTATATTTGGGCACGCTTCGTGCTGGCACAATAGCCATCGCAGTTATCGCAGCACAAGCAACGCCGTAGTTAACGCACTTAATTCCAAGCCCTCTTGAAATTTCTGGTACCCAATGAGCAAAGTCATAGAAAATCATATCGACTTTACGATCATTGGCACCACAACTTACTAGGAAGCCTTGTATTTGCTGACGGGTGCGGTCCATGGCAGCCGCTAGCAAGGGGGTCGAAGATGTTGGGATGTCAGAGGCAGTCTCAGTGCCCTCAGGGAGGCCTTCAATATGAGGAACAGTGACTGAATAAAAGGCGATGAGGTGTGGGTGGAGGTTGAGATGTTGAATCTGAATTTGAGCTTTTTTGGGCAGCAAGAAAGAGATTCTATGGCCTCTTGCTGCGAGCTCGTTAGAGAGGTGAAGGAAAGGGATGGCGTGTCCCATTGCAAACCATGGGAACATGGCTATGTGAAAATTTGATGAGCTCGTCTCATTTAGATTAAGTTGCGCCATTTGATCAACTTTTGTGCTAGCTCTTGTATGCATGTGTGTGTCCCCTATGCTTTTATAAATCGGAGAATTGGGAGGGGGTTGCTTGATAAATTACTGAAATCATTCTTGTCATTTATTAGGCCGAATGAAACTCTGTGGGAGGTTAGCTTATCAATTATTGTCATCTGATCACCCATGTGCGAGAAAAGAATATGTGGTTATGCGCTATCCGGCCAAAAAGAAAGAAAAAAAGTAACACCACTCAATCTCTTGAGTCTTGTCTTGTCCTCCCTTCTTCCTTTCATTGGCAGTGGATACTTTAATAATTGTACTCGTGCGGGCCATACCTTTGTTGGATTGGCCACTTGTGAAACACACCGGATCATAATGACATGCCAAAAGATACTCTTTTCTGGGTCAAATCAAATCAAATGAACTCCTTATGGAGCTTCTGATAATTTGCTTCTTCTTTTTTTTGTCGAAATTCATTTCACAGCAAACCCAAAAGGAGCCAGGGACGACTACAAAAGCAGGGTCGAAAGACACCAGCCAGGAAGTAACAATACAAAAATAAGGGGCAGATCTAACTATAAAACAAAAGCCCAGTCTAGTAATACAGATCATTGGTCAAGTAGTCTTTGATGTATTTGGTTTGAGAAATAAACAAACCCTTGTGAATTGTATGTAACTTCAGGCCAAGGAAATAGTGCAGAACATCCAAATTCTTGATCTCAAACTCTTCAGGTAAAATAACAATCATTGAGCACCCAATCTTGCGTGGCAACAATGCATACATATAACTATTATATCTTTTGTTACCTGTAGCTCCTCTTGCACAGCTCCACTTCATCAAAGTTGTCTTTTTTGTTTTTCCTTTTTCCTTCTGGCTTTTTGTTTGGACCAAAATTGGAAATTTGGTCTAGAATGAATGAAGAATTATGGCTCATACAATATGGCCAATATATGTTCTTCACAAAATGTTTGCACACTCTGTATAAAATCATTCCAACCATTATTTCTCAACTCATGAAGCTCCATTTTTATACTTGCAACCAAATTCAAAGCCCTTACAGTGTCTTGAGATTTTCTTTGAAGTTCTAGGCAAAGAAAATTAGTGAATCTCATAGTTTTGTCCAACAAATGTAAGGCAAAAACAAAGCCTAAAGACAACATAGAAATTTTAATACCTTCTGCTTCGCCACGAAATTGTGTGGTAGGTCCATTCTGATTGATATCTTTTAGAAGTGTCCTTGTTGCCCAAATAAATCAATCAAACTCCTAATATAATTAAAATGTGAGCCCTAACGAGTACTTCTATGTCATTGCAAACAACGAATTTGATTAACCCATTTACCTGTTCCAAGTCTTCCAGCTGTTAGTAAGTCTTTAATTTCAGCTTGTCGCGTTAATTTTAACTCAAAATGACGTTTAGCAGAAGCACCAACAAAATTCACAATGTTAGTGAAAAAATCTCCAAATGAGTCGTACTTCTTTAGCTGCACCATTTAGAGCTAATTGGAGATGATGAGCAAATCAATGTATATAATATGCATATGGACAATCATTGAGAAATAGTGCTTGTAACCATTCACCACGCGTATTGCTAGCACTATCATATCTTTAACCACACATATTGCTCAGTAAAAGATTATGTTTGCCAAAAACTTTACAAATATCAATTTTAAAAGTTGAGGAGTTAGTGTCATGAACACTCAAAATATAAAAAAACCTTTCTCTAATATTCCTATCACAACCAACAAACCTTAGGATAATAGCCATTTGTTCCTTCTTAGAGTCGTCAAGTGCTTCATCCACAAGAATACAAAATTTCTCATCTTCCCCAATTTCATCGCGTATCATCTTCCTCACTTTTGTAGTATAGATATTTAGAATCTCTTTTTGTATCTTATTTGAAATATATTGGGCATTTAACGGAGCATTTTGTAACAAAACTTTTTTCAATGTTTACATTCATTCTTGCAAAAGCATTCAACAACTCAATGAAATTGCCTCAATTGGAGGAGTCACAAGATTCATCATCACCTCTAAAAGCCATTCCTTGATTTGCTAGATATCTAATGGCCTCTTTTGTAGTTGCAACCCTCAACCTATTTTTTGCAACTTCTTGTGCGGTTTGCACTACTTTGTCAATATGGTGAGTTGGAATTTTTAAATTCATCCACTTTTGCATAGCAAAATGATGTGGTGAATTTATAATGCCTACCTGAATAAGGAAAACATGCTCTTTTCCACCAACTCTTTTCCAACTTCTAAACCCCTCTAAAGTGAGTGCCTTATGTAAGTGATCAATATAAAAAAGAAAGCATGGAAAGCAAAACACTTTATCTTTATGAATAGAATACTCAAGCCAATGGTATTGCTTATACCAACTACCATTAAATCGACGATTTTGTTTCCCTTCTAAGTGTGATGGAAAGTCCTTTAATTGTGGTTGACATGGTCCTAAGAGAATATAAGATCTTCGAACACTATCACGTTGATTAGGTGGAAATGTGTCTATTTGAGGACGTAATATCAAATCACGCTAAAGAGAATTGGTATTAAATTCTTGATCACAAGGCTCCACTCTTACATTTTTAGAGTCAATTCTTTGAGGTTGAGAAGGAGGTTACTCCTCACAAATTGGAGGAGATGTAGAAGAACCGAAAGGCATGCTAGTTGATGATTCACCATTGTTTCTCTTAAAAAAAATCTCTAAGAGTCTTTGATCTCTTAACGTTTCGACGTTGATCCGACATTATAAAGTATAACATATTGAATAATAAATAGAAGATGTAAACATATAGACGATGTAAACATATAGACTGACAAAATCCCCAATTGATAATTCATAAGACTCAATTGTAAATCCCTAATTGATACTTCATAAACCCTAAATCTCCAAAATTTCAACATCAACAAATTTAGAGAAGAAAATTAAAGAAGATGAAGAATTAAAGATTACCTCCTTTAATTAAGTCTTCAAGAATGACATGGGTGATTGGCTTTGGCGTGCACTGTTGCGTGCTGCGTGACAGGGAGGGATGATTTTCTTCTTTTTTTTCGAAGAATACGGGTTGGGTAATTGAGCAAAGAGAGAATGAACGTGTTTTGCCCAAGTGGTCCCATGTGGGGTTAGTTTGTATTTTTTATTAGTCAGACATGTGGTGTTTTGTGCAGGTTTGTTAATGGGATTTTATTTGTGTGTGGGTTAGTTTTAATTCTATTATTATTAACTAATTGGTCAGACATATGTGGTAGGTTTGTTAATGGAATTTTAATTGGTTGGAATCACAGTACAAAAAATCGATAATTTCGCCGATGTTTCGGCGAAATTATCGTTTGTTTGGGGCTGCGAAATTTTAGCACAATTTCAGGTATTTATCGTCAATTTATCGATATTTTCCTTGATATTTAGGGTAAGATATTTTCGTTCAATTCGTAACTTTAAATGGTCATAATATCGCGATATTATCAATAATATGGCGACTTGAACTGTTAAAAATTAAACAACTTAAACTCACACAGTGGGGTTCGAACTCCTCTCCACTCCGAATTTTTGCAGTCACTTAACCACCACGCTACTCATGACTTTGTGATTATAAACTATGGAATATATAATACTTGTGAGACTTTCAAAAATTAAATAATTTAAACTCACTCACGCTCTTGCACACAATGGGGTTCGAACCCCTCTCCACTCTTGTGAGACTTTCAAAATTAAATAATTTAAACTCACTCACGCTCTTGCAAAATTAAATAATTTAAACTCACTCACGCTCTTGCACACAATGGGTTCGAACCCCTCTCCACTCTTGTGAGACTTTCAAAAATTAAATAATTTAAACTCACTCACGCTCTTGCACACAATGGGGTTCGAACCCCTCTCCACTCCGGAATTTACAGCCACTTCACCACCACGCTGCTCATAACTTTGTGATTATAAACTATGGAATCTAGTATATATAATACTTGCGAGCTGTTTTTCAAAATAGAAATTAACATAATTACTTATTGTTTTATATTGTTGATCAGTTACTTAATTACTTAATATAATTGATTATTTTATTATTCATTATAAGTACTTACATTACTAAATTCTCCTTCAAATTGTTGCTTAATTACTTAAATCTCTATAATCATTTTCATTATTTACTATTTAATTCTCCCTTGGATAAATTTATTTATTTTCTTAGTTAATTTTCAATCTTCACTATTATTTTTTAAGCATGGTAAAGTGCCTAATTTTCATGAAAAATCAAATTTGTTTACATCTTTAATTATTTTTCAATTTTTGATTAAACAATAAATATAAGAACGCGTATCATGTCCAGTAAATAACGTGAAATAAATTGTTGCTTAATCACTTAAATCTCTATAATCATTTTCTTTATTTCCTATTTAATTCTTCCTTAGATAAATTTATTTGTGTTCTTAGTTCATTTTCAATCTTCAATATTATTTTTTAAGCATGGTAGAGTGCCTAATTTTGACGACAAATCAAGTTGGTTTACATCTTTAATTATTTTTTAATTTTTCATAAAATAATAAATATAACAACGTGTACCATGTCCAGTGAAATAAGGTTACTCATGTATCTTATCATGCAATTTATAAAGTGTAAAATATTTTACTAAAAATGATAAATAAATTACTAAGGGATGTTTAATTTTCTTTCATTAATTACTCTAAATTTTCTAAGTCATATAGTTTGTCAGCTCGCAGTATAATTAACTTAAATCACTCAAGCCCACTATGAAATGCATTGCCTTCCAATTTTTTGTGTCAAAATAATAGATGATTGACTAAATAAACTTCTTCTAAAGTTTCATTAAAAATTTCCATGTATTTATCACAATTTCCGTGGTTTTTATCCAATTTTTATTGATATCGATATTTTCCCGATATTTCCATCGATATTTCCGTATTTTTGAACTACCGATATTTCCGAAAGTATCGATATTTAAGACCTTGGTTGGAATGAGGATGTCACGTAGGTTGTGGTATTGTCAACTCACCTAGGCTACAGTTTGGTTAGCTTGGATGTATGACCGTCCCTTAGATCCCTCCAACAACAAATACAATTTACTAAAAAGTATTAATTAAACGGGTCCTTCTCCATTACAGAGTTGAAGTATGCGAATTCATTACGTGTTTTGACCGTCGAATCTGCACCAATTGCCGTTTGTTTAATATCTCACCCTCTCTAATTTATTTATTTTAATTCTATTTCCTCTTCTCTCTCTTTCTTTTGTTTTGTTTCCCTCTCTCCTTTTTATTATTTTTCCTCGTCTTTCTCTCTTCCTTTATTATTTTTCCTGCTCTCCTCTGCTCAATCTCTCTCTCTCTCTCTTCTTTCTTCTCAGTTCTGTTCTCTCTTCCCCGCTCCCTCAAGTCCAAGTTTTTTTTGGCTCCTCCCCCCACCCACAAACCCCATACCCATTCGACCGAAAAAAAAAAACCTCAGACCAATCAAATTATCAGGCTGATCATTCGACAAAATGTTCCATTGAGAGCCATGGCTATGGAAATTGTGAATTCAAATTGTTCTCCGACTCCTGGAGCTTTGGGTTTCTTTATAAGATGTTTAGGTAGTGTAAAGTTGGTTCAAGAAGCTAACTTTTTGTTTGATCAAGTTAAAGTGAAGGGTCTTTGTGTTCCAAATAGTTATAACTATAAATGTTTGTTGGAGGCTATATCTAAATCTAAGTTAAGTTCAATTCAATTGCTTGAAATGAGATTGCAAGAAATGGAGATTCTGGGTGGGAATTCAGTAAGTACACGCTGACTCCGGGTTTGCAGGATTATTGCAATACAGGGAAGTTCGAAAAGGCTTTAAATGTTTTCAATGAAATGTATGAGAAGGGGTGGGTTGATGCCCATGTCATGTCTATCTTGGTGTTGTCCTTTAGAAGAGGGAGGAAAAAAAAACATGGACTTGAGGGAGCAGGGAAGAGAGAACAGAGCTGAGAGGAAAGAAGAGAGAGAGATTCAGCAGACCAGGAGAGAAGAAAGAAAAGAAGAAGAGAGGAGGAAAAATAATAAAGAAAGAGAGAGAGAGACGAGGAAAAATAATAAAAAAGAGAGAGGGAAGGAACAGAGAGAAAGAAAGAGAATAGGAAATAGAATAATAAAAAACAGAGAGTGAGATATTAAAAAAAGGGCAATTGCTGCAGATCCGACGGTCAAAACACAAATCCATAGTGAATTCGCATACTTCAACTCCGTAATGGAGAAGGACCCTAATTGAACACCACCATGTTAAAACCATTCATTTTCTCTCACATGAATTCCAACACAACAAAATAAGCAAGAACGAAACCAGTTAACAATAAAACTTAATTTACAAGCTCTTTCAGCTTTTGAACAAACCTATCAATATAGCCACTCATAAACCCAGGACTTGATAACGTTTCCACCCATTTTGCATGGTTCTTCTTTACCATAACGCCCACCTCACTGTCTTTATCCATCACACTTTTAATAGCTTTGCGCAAGCTCTCCTTCGAAAACCACCCATTTTCTTCTCTCTCTACCTCCACAGCAACCTTGAGCTCCTTAACCAGCAACTTGGTGTTCAAGATCTGGTCACCCAAATGTGGCACAAGCACAATCTGATTATCAGTCATCAAAGACTCCCACATTGACCCAAACCCGCAATGGTTCACAAAGCACCCAACTGACTTGTGGCTCAAAATGGCTGTCTGCTGCACCCAGCCCCCAAACACCACCCCTCTCCCTTTAACCCTCTCTTCAAACCCATTTGGCAAAGCCTCTTCAATTGTAGCACAACCCGAAGGTGGTTTCAAAGCCACAAAAAATGGCAACCCAGTTAACTCAAACCCTAGCACAAGCTCTTGAAATTGGTCCTTTTCAAGAATCCACTGGGTCCCAAATGCACAAAACACTACACTCCCTGCCTCAAACCCAGAAAACCACTTCTCCCATCTTTCATCTAACTTCTCACTCTTCTTATCAGATCCCAGGCCCAGAACAGGCCCAGTTAAAATCACCGGCTTCTTATACTGCGCTTCCATATAATCACACAAATCACCCTCCAGCTCTCTGCAGGTTCTAATAGACAACACGTCACATTCTTTCATAGCCGTCGTCGTCCGCTCGTAAAACGTGATCCCTTCCCCATACGGCAACGATATGAACGTCAAGGCCTTGGCCTCGGCCCCGCAAAGCACCACATTCTTTGACGGGTACCCAGCTGGCGGCTCCCGCAGCTCCTCCTCGGTGATAGGCCGGTCCTTGGGAACATTACGCGCCGGGACAAGGGCGATCGCGAGCGCAGCGGCGCAAACGACATTGTAACAAACGGTTTTAATGCCGTTTCTTCTCGCGATGCCCGGGACCCACTGTGCAGTGTCGTATAGAACAAAGTCGGGTTTGCTGACGGTTAAGAACTGCTCGATTTCGCCGCGTGTTCTGTCCATGGCAGTAGCGAGCAGATGGGTCATGTGGATGGGGATTTCCGAGGCGATTTCGGTCCCCTCGGGGAGGCCGTGGACGTGAGGGACGGCGACAGGGGAGAAGACAATGAGGTCTGCGTGGAGGACGAGGTGTTGGAGCTGGAGGCGAGCTTTGTTGGGCACCAAGAGAGTGGTTCTATGGCCTCTGGAAGCGAGCTCGTTGGCGAGGTGAAGGTAAGGGCTGATGTGGCCAATGGCAAACCATGGGAACATGGCTATGTGAAAGCTTGACGAGCTCGTCTTGGGAGGCTGAGACATTTTTGTGGGTTGAGCTAGCTAGCCAGCTCTTGGCGAGTATGGCACTATAGATAGGGTTGTGAGATTACTTCATTTGGGTCAACACATCTCAGCTGATGAGGCTATTATTTATGCATGTTTGTTGGGTATGGTTGGTAGTTGTTTACAATTATATATTACTATTTACTGCGACAATGTTGGTAAAAACTTTTGACCCAGTTGCTAATCAGATAAGCAACCAAAGGGTTTGGATTCAACAGCTAAAAGGAAATATTGTATATTAAATATATTTTAGAGTAGAAAAAAAAATAAGTTTGGTTATTAATATTTTCCTTAGCACAAAATATACAATACTTCTAAGCACATAAGAAATATGATATTTTCCTTGGATACTCACATTCAAACATAATATCAACAACTTTCGACGTAAAAAAAAATTATAATATCAACGTACCAAATAATTCCACTTGCTCTCACGTCATCCAATAAAAATTATTTCACATGCTAGATATAAAAAATCTCACGTAAATAGGGGCGTGTTAAACTCTTCACCTATCCCAACACAAATGCAAATTGAGATGAGAGTATCCCACATTAACAAAGGAGCAGTTGCATGCACTATTTATGAGAAACAAGGGAGATGTACTTTAATTTGATTAAAAAGCTAATTTCCGAAACATATTGTCCCTATTTCCTAACTCAGACAAGAGGCTCAGTATCCAACTCACATGAGAGATTGTGATTGATTTGGCCATCTTGCTTCTACTAATACAAGAATGCATAGTTAAGCACCATCTTCAATTACCCACTATCTGGTCTTCAATAAATATTCCAATCTTGGGTGACGATGCCTTGGTCCAATTGGATCGAAGCCCCTACCTCTTCCATTCAGAACTGGTGATTTAGACAAATAATTATTAACGGAAACTAGCTAAAATCATTAAAAACTAAGGAATAATCACTACAAAAAAAGCTTGCAATCCTAGCCCTCAAGCAATTATAGAATAAGTATCTACACCCTCTGAGTTCATGTATGTCATCATTTGCACAAACTTGAACTCATTATTCCATTTTTAATATAGTTTACTAATTTTCTGGGTCCGCCCTTGCTCACGTGTTTGACGAAGAGAAGAAAAAAACAACAAAGCGACTCCTTGATGTCTTACTGTTAAGTGGCAGTTGTTATCTTGGCTGAAATGGGTTTTATATCTGTGCCTTTCATCAAGCGCAGGAAGTCTATTTCTGTGTTGGGTGGGTAGTTTTGTTTAGCTTTTCTCTGTTGGGGTATTTCTGTTATGAATTGGTGTCAGTATCTCTTTTCATTGCAATAAAATACTCTCATCTTGGAACAAAAAAAAACAGGTAGAGCAACTGAATAGCATGTACAACATCAGGAGAGGATTTTAAAAAGCCAACAAAATCTACTCTGTTTTCATCTTGGGACAATATCGATGTTGCTAGTGGTAGGCCAAGAGTCTATCCCTTTAAAATCTTAACATCATATTCACCATTCAGTGCAATTCGCTTTCGCCGTGCACAACAGCTGTGACCATTTGGCCAACATTCCCAGTCCGATATGGGTACTGATGGCTTCAGCTAGATGTCTACTAAATCATATCAAAATTACTGGCCTTCAAGCTGCCCTTGTGGTTAAGTGCGCTTGCACTAACTCCTAGTGGTCTTGGGTTCGAAGGTTGGTACCACATTCTCTACAAAACCCAAAAATTGTATCAAAATTTGGTGGCATCTATATAAGTATAAAATGCTCAGGGAATTAAACACTGAAGTCGGTCAAAAGCAATGTCTGTGATGAGCAATCAGTTGCAGTCATACCAAGTCATATTTTCCAGTGCTCAAATGGATTTGAGTTCTTTATGAAAGTTGTTCCTAGATATATGTATTTGTGGCTGAAAAACAATTAGATACGGATACTGAGGCACAACGGTACTTATTTTTCAATGTACCACAATCAATTCGTGGCTAAATCTTCATGAATCCCATTTTAACACAGTTCACTCGTGGCCAACAATTAGCTAGCTACTGTTTTCATGGCCAATATTTCTAATGCAAGGCAACTATATGTCAACACTAGCCCCCGTTTTGGAGATGGAGGCCATGGTCGTGATATGGCCATGTCATGATTTTCTTTTTGTTTTATAGATATATTTTTCTAGAGAATTAATTTTTTTCATTCCCTTTTTGTCCACTTACACTCTCTTTTGTTTTTTTTAAATATTTTTTAATCAATTTTGTTCTTTTTTGTTCTTTCTCTTTCCTATTCTACTCTTACCCTGAATTAAGGTTTTGATAATTGAAAGTAAGAAAAGTTAACAGAAAGAAAAAAAAGTTTGAGCGGTAAAAAAACAATCTCTATACAAAATTCCAGCAAACTATATATCATCTTTAACTTGTGTTTCAATTGCTCTCAAATGATTTCCAATCCTCAACCAAGCTTCAAATGCCCAGAAACAACTCAAATACCATAACAAAGCATTAAATTGGAGAGTAATTCCTCAAAAACCCCAACCTGGAGAAATTCCAAAATCTCAACAACAGCCCTTAAAATTTACCTTATATTGTTGTGCTCATATCACGATCATGTAGGCGAAAACAGTTCATGAATCCAACAACTAGAGAGAAAGTTGTGATTTTTTGAAAAAATTTCAACCAAACTTTGTTTTTGGAAGTTGCCTTAAACAACTGTGAAAACATGCCAAGGGAGAGGAAGACGATGAAGCAATAGTCTTGTTAGTATGAAATTTATATTGTCATTTCCTAGACTCTAGCATAGGTAGAAAATTAGTGTGTGAAGAATTGTTACTAGACGTTTTGGCACAACTCATTCAACCCTATACTTCCGAGGCATGCCCTGACCATATGAGAATCTTGACCTCAGGTAAATCATGACATAATCACGCATTCATTATAGGATTCCTAGTTGGAGTTTTTTTCACTCAAGTATTTTTATGTTAATCTTATTTTTAATAAGATTATATTTTATCTCTTGAGATTACTTTCCTAGTTCAACTCTATTTTAATTGAAGTTAAAATATTATCTTTTCCTATTGTGACTTTGCACGTTGCTTACCTCTTAGTTAATTTGGTTTAAAGAGTGGCGTCATTACTTTGAGTCCAAGGTGAATCAAATCTCTTATTGATGATAGGTTGTGGTGCAACAGGAATATTAATATTCGTGGCCTATTGTGCTTCTCTCCAATTAGAGAGAACAAGTCTTGTATAAAAGATCATGTGCCATTCTTTTATGATGTACAGCTTTGAGATATTTGTTTTGAGCATATAGAATTCTAAGAAAAGCTGTTGTGCATATATTTGAGATAAATCATCAAGTGTTCAATGTTTACTTGGTGATTTATCAAACACTTTAATCATTCGTATTGCATTCATATGCATGTCGGTGACTCATACGGTTGAGGGCACCAAGACCGTGGTGGCGGTTTTCCTCCGGTGAGCTTGAAGCAATCGTGGCCAGTATTGCGTTCAACATAAGGAGTGTCGAAGATCATCCCGTGACAGAAGTTGAGTTACGAAGAAGTCGGTAAACATTATCTAGAATGTGTCTAGGATAAGTGTGCGAGTACTTCTTGTAATCATCGTTCTATAGTGGATTTGTGTTGGACTGAGGAGTCCCGTGGATTTTCCCCAGAGGTGGGGTTTTACCACGTAAAATAATTCTCTGCGTGTTCTTTTATTTTATGCCCAGCACGTTACAGGATTGATAAGCCATATCAATCCTGCTACCGAAGTTTATTTTTATTTATTTGATTAGAATCTTAAATTGGCCTATTCACCCTCCTCTATGCATTTTGAGTCATCCTGCAGGTATTTTCAAGTCTAATTAAAACCTGTGAATCACCTTCAACCAAAATGTTAGAATAACCAAAATGTTAGAATAACCAAAATGATGAGCTTGAGAAAGACCAAACTTTAAAGCAACTACTTCAAAGGACCACATTTTTGTGTGTTGTTTACACCATTATTGTATGGAACCTAACCGGCCAACGCAAGCTTCTCAAACAACCGTGACGAAATGCAAATATAAAAGGTGAAAAAGGATGGTGATCTTACAAGCTGAACCCTGTGCCAAGGGGACAACAAAGGCTCAGTGCTATTAATTATATCTGAATTTAATGCATACTTAGACAAACTTCACACCAGTCGAAAGTTAATTAGTATTCAATACTATCTCCTTAAGATAATTTGCCTCCCACTACGGTCTTCATGATTGGATGAAGTTAGTCTCATAGTAAACAAGGCTCCTCCTTATGATATTAAGGCTCAGCAAATCAATGTGGCCATTATGTTTTTTTTTTCAAAAAAATTTATAAGAATCAAGATTTCATTCACAAACTCAAGAAGAGAGTACATCTGTATAAAGAAATGGGAGCAACCATGCAGGTGCTTCTTCAATCCAAGAAACAAAATCATTACAGCTGATTGCAAATTGAGCCAAGGTGTGTGCCACCTTATTACAACTCCACGGGGACCATTGATATAAATCTACTCTAAATTTGCTTAATAGGCATTTTGCTTCTTCGAATAAAAGATCGTTTGTTACATTGCATTCTTCTGCCGAAAGAATACCAGTTATGCATTCTTTTGCGTCCATTGCAGCCATAAGCTCCGTTTGCTTGGCCCCATAACTTGTTTGGATAACACATACACCCATAAAATCACGGATAATGCTTGGCTCCTGATATATCAGGAGTCATTCCTCCTCCATAGCTGAAGTGGCTTCCTCAAAAGAACAACACGTGTTTCTTCTTCTTTAGCCCCCTTTTGAACAATAAAATGCAAACAGACAATTGATAGCCCCTCTTCCAATTGGGAAGCCATCTGTTTCAATAAATGCTTTTGAGTTTTGAGCTTTGGCTGTGGTGGTTATGGAGGTTATAATGAGGGTGGTGATGATAGTGATCGAAGTCGGACCTTAAAATCGGTCACATGTCTTTTGTTGTGATGTGAGAAATGCTGTGAAAATCAGCTTCCCAAAACCCTTCGATTGGCTATGGATTTTAAAGAGGGTAAAATTTCCTAAATAGCTGTCCTTTCCAAGGTTACAATGTCAACGAAGAAGCTTTCCTTTCCTAAAATTTCCTAATGGTTTTATATTTGTTCCTCTAATTGTTTTATATTTGCAGATGTTGGTTATGATGAAACTCATAACTTGTTTATCTGGAACCCATCAACCAGATTCGTCCGCAAATTGCCTAACCCAGATTTTGTGGTTGTGGCAGAACAGATTTTGTGCTTGAGTTAATGGAGTTGAAAGAAAAACAGTACTAAAAAAAACAAAAAAAGAAAGAAGAAACACGTGTTGTTTTTTAAGGTAGCCACATCAGTTGTGGAGGAGGAATGTCTCTAGATATATCAGAAGCCAAGCATTGTCCTAAAATTACCACACTCATTTCTAACAACCACCTCCCCAGTCATCACACTCATTTCTAACAACCAGGTACCCCACGAATTGAATATCAATTTTTGAGTGCTCCATCTACATTTATTTTATTGAGACTTACTGATGGAGGCCTCCAAACTTGAGAAGGACTTGAGAGATATAGGTGTAATCCTGGATTGTGTGATAGAAGTAATTTGCTTCAGAAAATTCTTTGGCAAAGACAGTCATACGATGCAGTAACTTTTGTGCAGGTTCGAATTTCCCTTCAAAAATAAAGAATGTTTGCATATATATATATTTGCTGGGGCATTTGGGACATGAGAAATGGCCATTATGTATTTAAATGCTGAAATAACTATTTAAAAAATATGTATCTATTCTTGAACAGACAAAAAATTGCATCACTTCAAATTAAAAAGATAAAAGGTGCCAAGCCTGGTAGTGTGGGCTTGTAACTTAACATGGTATTAAATTAATTGGTTGCCTGATTGAAACTGTTGAAACGGAAAAATAAAACAAAAAAAGAAAGCAAAAGTTGCATCATTTTACTTTTAATTTGAACAATCACAACCTATTATATTCAAGAACAATCACAAACCATAAACATTTATAACATCACAGGTCAAGCACTTCCCGTCAAGTATATATAACTTAATTTCTCAAAGTTCAATTATTTCTCTCTTCATCAATGGCATCTTCTTGTATGATTTAATATGTTTAAATATTTGTATGATTCAATTCCTTTACCTTGATGTGATTCACGTACGTAGATGCATTAGAGTTTATGTACATTAAAAAGAAGCACGAGACTTTATTCTGAGTGTTGGATCCCTCCAACCACAAATACAACTCACTAAAAAGTAACAATTTCAACACCACCATGTCAAGACCATTCATTTTCTCTGACATTAATTCGAACACAACAAAATAAGCAAGAACGAAACCAGTTAACAATAAAACTTAATTTACAAGCTCTTTCAGCTTCTGAACAAACCTATCAATATAGCCACTCATAAACCCAGGACTTGATAACGTTTCCACCCATTTCGCATGGTTCTCCTTTACCATAACGCCCACCTCACTGTCTTTATCCATCACACTTTTAATAGCTTTGTGCAAGCTCTCCTTCGAAAACCACCCATTTTCTTCTCTCTCTACCTCCACAGCAACCTTGAGCTCCTTAACCAGCAACTTGGTGTTCAAGATCTGGTCACCCAATTGTGGCACAAGCACAATCTGATTATCAGTCATCAAAGACTCCCACATTGAATTGGGTGAGGTGAGAGCAAATAAAATCATTTGGTGTGCCACATATATAACATAGTTGTTGTTATTTTTTTTTTTTTTTTTTTTTTTTTTCTGTAAGTTGTTTGATAATTATATTTGAATGTGAGTATTCCAAGGAAAATACCGTATTTCTTATGTGCTTAGAAATATTGTATATTTTGTGCTAAGGAAAATTTTAATAACCAAACTTATTTTCCTACTCTAAAACCCAATGTAACAAAGCCATTTTAGTCGGGGTAAAAGCCAAAAATGTGAAAATAAAAGTTGGTCATAGCTTGTGAATCCAAACCCTTTGGTTTGGGATACATAGCTGGTTAGCAACAAGTCTAATTTTTATGTTACTAAATTCTCTGTGTCCCTCTTTCTTTTTTAGTTTTGTGACATGTGACACATAATTTAATAGGGGTGGTCGCGGTTCAGTAACCGCGAATTTTTGCCTAAACTGCAAACCGACCAACTATTTGTAGTATGGTGATTTTTGAAACCACAAATCGACCGCTTTTTGCGGTTTACCGCATTGCGGTAAACCTCAAAAAGCGGTCGGTTACCGTGAATTAGCGGTTTAAAGCTGCAAGTTTTTTTTGTGTCATAAAAATCCAATCTTCCACATTTTAGGCCTAATTTTGATCTTTCTTTTGAAGCCTTTTGAGTTCAAGCATACTTTAACCCAAAAATATAATTTCACAACCTCAACTTCTCAAGCATATATAAATTCACAACCTCCTCAACTTCTCAAGCATTCACAACCTAAAGAAAATTAAAGTTACAATTCCAAGCATTCCAATTAAAGTTAAACTTCTCAAGCATTCACAACCTCAACTTCTCAAGCATTCCAATTCCAAATCCTTTAAAGTTACAAACCAAAAGGAAAATGCAATGCAAAATGAATTAAAGTTACAACCCAAAGGAAAAATCCAATTCAAAGTTAATTAAAGTTACAAACTAAAAGGAAAATGCAAAGCACCAATGTTACAAACTCAAGTGTTGGTGGTGGTGAGTGGATTTGAAAGATCCCGTTGTGTAGTTTGAGCACCAATGCTATCTACAAAATGCAAATTTTTTAAATAAAAAAAATATATAGTCGCGGTTTGCGATAACTGCAAGTTTTGAAAATAAAATACTGCAACCGCAACGGCAAATGCGGTTCGGTTCTTCATACCACAAATGCGGTTCGGTTTTCCGCGATTGCGGTTCCATTGCGAAAAATTGTCGGTTGATTTTTGCAGTTTTTCAGTTTTTCGGTCTAAAATGCCACCCCTATAATTTAACACTAATTTAATAATATTAATTGTAATTTGTATTAAAGAATATTAAAATATTAATATTAAAATAATTTTATTCACAAGCACGGACTCTTCATCTTCCCCGCCACACACCTTGCGGTGCCAACATATTCATATCCAAATATTAATAGTAATATTAAAATCTAAATATAATGCATTATTTCCTTGTAATTGAATTCCATAATTTAAATTTTGAATTATTTCCTTGTTAATATTCATAACATATGGATAAAATGCAATTTAATCAATAAAAAGTAAAGACCCACATATTATACCAATCGATCAGACAAGCACCCACATTAAATTATGTACTTGACATACAGGTAAATAATGTTATTATTAGCAACGAAAAATACTTAGTGACAAATCGTGTTACCTATAAGTTAGGAACATAAATTAGAAGACTACCTATAAGTGAGATACAAAAATAGAAAAAATAAAATTGTATGTTACCTATAAAAAAAAGGTACATAAAATACAATTACACATTGTCAAAAATATGAAAAAACATATATATACCTATGCAATAGGCAATATGATATAAATGACTATTACCCGATTCAAGTCATAAGGGGCAATATTAGAATAAAAAATAATTTTAAAAATAAAATAATAAAAAAGATTACATCATAAAATATTAAAAAATGAATGTAATTCTATGTGGTATAAAAGCCAAAGGACTTAGATCAAAGTCACTAAATCTGAGGACTAAACCCAACTTTTCAATAAGAATTTGGATCTATATCAACTTTTCTAATTTTTTTTTGTTTGATTGGAGAAAACTTGTATATATTGCTTTCCTCTTCTTTGGAGTGTTCCTTTTAAAAAAATATAATATAATATAATTGTTAACAATAAAAAAAGAGAGTAGAAATGTAAAAATACAACTACTAAATGACACAATATGGACTCAAACCAAACTTGCCTAATAAAATCAAGGGGATGAATTCCAACTCAATCAAATACACACTTGTGTTACTTTCCTCCACGTTCCAAGTATATAATATATATATATAAAGCAAAAGACAAAGAATGGTGAAACATTCAAAATACCAGAAAATACTCTTGGTTAATTCAAATATTAAGAATTGAAATTATTAATTAAATAAGGATAATATGGTAAATTCACTTTTTTCATATTAAAAAAATTAAAATTAGAAACAAAATCAGATAATAGGTCATACTTTTATGGAATATAACTACCCATATTATCTTTTCTTAATTCTAAAAATAAAATAAAAAATAAAAAAGAAAACCAATTTGCACATGCATAAGCGTGCGCCAAGGGGCTAGTACCTATAATATAAATATACATAATATACACGTAAAAAAATTTCGGGGCCCTTACAAATTGGAGGCCTGTGCGGTGACAAATTGGAGGCCCTTATCCGATTATGAATAGTCTTGACACGTAAGAATCCGGAAATCTTATTCGAAAATATTATCCAAATTAATTATTGATGTAAAAAAATTTGTGAATAAAACAAAAAAATGAATAGTAACTGTCCTTAGCCATGGCAACGGGTGGAAACACAAAATACTATTTGCAAGTGCCCTAGCTCCCCCCTTGCCATGGCTAAGGGCAAATGGGTGGAGTTGCTCTTGCCCCAAAGACATTTAATTGTACAAGTTAGGCCCTCAACCATATTTTAATTTTGTTGGTCATGCTCTCTCAACCATATTTTATTTTTTCGCCAAAATTAAGAAAGGGATGGGAGAAACTCACACACACAGGTACCCTATGTTGTACGGACACGAATACGGGGACACAGATATGAGACACGAGGACATGACAATTAATTTTTATTATTATAATAATATTTTTATATATTTTTAAAAATTAAAATATTGATGTTCAAATTCCAATTTTACAATACCATATATAGTAAAATTCAAGGTTTTCAAGCATTTCAAATAAAATTTATTATTTTTATATGAATTATAATTGAATTAACATATTAATTTACCTTGAGTGTGAGTTGACCAGTGCCTAAAGAGTGTTTTGACCATGTATGGGGACTGTCTTAACTGTGGACACGAGTGTCCCTGAAGTGTCCAAGTGTCCGACACTCCGATACTTAGGCTTAGTAGAGTGTTCGTGCAATATAGCGGATACTATAGGGGCTTGAACTTAAAATCACTTAGGAGCACACTAAAGGCATGGGTAGCCTCAACCATATTTTGGGGGGAAGTAAAATAGAACATAGAGGGAGAAGAGGACTACTCTTTGTATATATTCAACACCAAAAGAACCTTAGCTGTCATATAATGGGGAGAAAAATATTGTGCACCTCTCTATAAACAAAAGCCCATCACATGGGGAGTGCGCTGGCATGACCCTGTCATTGACATAAGCAATTAATCCTTCTCCATATTTTCCTAGTTGTATGTATTGACTTAAATGCCACATTCCCTGCTTTCAATCTGTAATCTTTTATCTCATCCCTTTTGTAGGGCAAATCATGAACCACCTTGTCCAAATGCATTTCAACATTAAAATATGCCTTGATTCCCAAAGCACATGGTTCCATGCCCCACACATGGCTTCCCCAGTCATCCCAGCTAGCTGTTGCTCACAACTCTAATTTTTAATTCTCTTGCATCTTGATTTAAATAGGTACAAATAGAAGAACACAAAAGTGGGTGTTTTTTACTTGTGTGGAGCCATGGAGCCTATTGGTGATGACCAAGTTGAGCAATCTTCAAGCAGGAAGGAGAAAAATGTGGAGGAAGCAAATCATCTCTTGGAAGAGTGTTGGTTTTTTGACAACTTGCTCAACAGGAAGCAGAAGATGTTGAGGTGTTATTCTGATCCTCAATGCAATTCATCAAACTTTGGTCAAGAAATGTCGGTGAAGAGTTCACATGACCAAAAGTCCTTGTTGACAACAAGTAAGGCCACACAAGGAAATGGCTTTGCTGGTCCTAATTTGGTTAGAACACCATCTTTGCCTCTTCATATAGGGAGGAGGCAAGAGGAAGAAGTTCAAGTAAAGCAAAGTGGTAGTAATAAGAGTTTGAGCAAATTGACAAGGCAAACATCACATCAGAAAATGCTGCAGACACCAACAAAATCACCAGCTTGTATAGGCAGGACAGAAGGAGTTCAAGATAAGGAAAGTGATAACAGAAGAAGCAAAATGAATGGGCAGCCAGTGCGCCAGAATTTGCTCAGGACACCCTCCTTGCCACCATGTATAGGAAGGGAAGAGAGCAACCAAGAAAGTGTTCCTCAGAGACATAAGGTACTAGCAATAGAATCCCTATCTTCGTTCGTCAATTTATTTGATTACAATTAGATGATTACTTCATTTCCCGTTTCGCTGAATTTTTGTATGGTTGATCATGAAAGTACATTGGTGTATTTGAAAATTTGTGTTAAGAATCATAGGTTATATAAGAATTAGAACTATATGCTTATAATGTTGTTACATTTGAATATTGCAGGGGCTCATGACACAAAGTTCTAGCATTCCAAGAAATAGACCACCAAAAAACACAGAAGGGGAAAGCAATGCTAGTACAGATGGGTGCAAGGAAATGAGACGCAGAAGCCTTAACCAGTTAACCACGAGAAAGAGCCTAAGTGATCTTGAGATTGAAGAGCTGCAAGGGTTCAAGGACCTGGGATTCACATTTGACAAGAAAGAACTGAGCCCCAGTGTGGTTAACATACTTCCTGGTTTGCAAGAAAAGAAGGGAGCAGAGGATTTGAACCCAGAAAAGGTTAGGAGGCCTTATCTTTCTGAAGCATGGCTGGTGCAAAGCTGTGCTCCTCCACCTCCAAACTTGGGTGCAAGTAGGTCTGCTGAGGACATGAAGGCACAGATCAAGTTCTGGGCTAGAGCTGTGGCTTCTAATGTGCGCTAGGATTAATGTGTGCGCCTAAAGAAAATAACATATAACATCATGGGAATTTTTGTGATTTGTAACTTGAATAACATACCAATTGTGTAGTCTGATTATATTGAAACTGTAACATCCAATCCATTCAAAAACCAAATTAATCCAATCATATTTTTTGTTACAAGATTTTAATTATTTGGTTAAGCCTTCAAGTTCTTGCTACTTTCAGAGACTCTGGCATTCATCCCAAATAAATGGAACCCATACTTATTTTATATCGTAACATTTGAAATGGACAGCTTGATTTGATGAGACAAGGAAAAGCAAATGCTTTTGCCTTTTAGGATGTCTACCCGTGAGTGTTCATGGAATTGTTAAAAAACAATGCTTACATGGAAAGAACAGCACTGTCTTCATTACCATCTGTTCAATTCTGAACTCATGATGATACTTTTGAGCCATCTTCTTCATGCATTGCAAGTTCAAGTAGGAACCAGAACTTGGAAGCTAATGACATTTTGGAAAGAATGTTGGTTCTTTTACAGCTTGCTTGACAGAAAACAAAGGATGTTAAGGTGTTATTCTGATCCTCTGGTCAGGAAATGTTCTTCACAATGTGATGCTAATTCTTTTGTATGGACTTTTTCCCGATGGAGACCTAAAATGGAAGAATTGATGGTCACATTACAATGAAGTATGCTCGAACAATGATGTTCATCAATTTTATTTTTCAACCATTTGAGCTACAAGCTACTTGTAAAAAAAACATTTATGTATTAAAATGAATGTTTAAGTCGGCGTGTAAAAATCATTCTTTAAAAAAAAAGCTTAAAATCAGTTAAATCATGAACTATTTACCTTTTTTATTATTGTCATGATCATCTTTGTGTTTATAAAAAAACATTAAATAATTCTATTTATTTTTTTACAAATAACCAAATGGTTTTCCATTCAGGTGCTATTTGAAATGATGGCCAACAAATTTGATGGTTTACATATGCACATCAAATACACATGGTTGAAAATTGTAGTCCTCTCAACATTGCTAAAAGAAAATTTCAAGGAAAAAAACAACAAATAAGAAACATACATCTGGAATAGATAACAGATATTTTCAAATATCAAATCCCACCATAATCTCAAAATGTGCAAAGAAAATCTCACCCTTCAATTTTGATTGATGAGAGAGAAAAAAAAACCAAGAAACAGAGCAATAACTAACAACCAACCCAACCCTCAGCAACTCAGCCTTCCCTCCCTAAAAACCCTCAAATGTTGCAGACCCAACACCTTCTCTGTTCCCATTTCCCTATCTGTCTCTCTCCTCCCCAAACCCACTTTCTCTTTCCCCCAAATCTCTCATCTTCTCCTCTCAATTTTCTCTACAAACCCACAAGTCTCTGCTCTGTCTCTGCCCATTCTAGGCCCAGACCCGAACAATGGCTAGCCGAAGCTCCAGAAACCACAACCAGTATTCCTACAGCTCCATACACTCCCTTAGAATTCGCCCCAGAGGGTCCCGAAGAATTGCCACCATCTTCCTCTCCAGTATTTGCTACCACAGATGACCCTTCTTCTATCCAAGTAGCTACCAGTGTTCTTCTCACTGGAGCCATTTGTGTCTTCCTGTTTCGCTCTCTTCGACGTCGTGCAAGGCGTGCTAAAGAGCTGGTGAAGATTATAGCTTTCTTTTCATTTATGTGTACAAATTACTATTTTTTGTGTGTTATTATGCTAAAGTTTGGAATTTTAGGAACTGGGTTTTGGTAGGAATTCCCTTTTATTATCAATTGTAAGTTTTTTGTGTGTTCGTGATTACATTGGGTAACTGGGTGTTGCTGTTTTAATTTGAGTGTCACTTCTTTATGCATTGTTAAGCTTGAATTCAATTTGTTGTGAGCTGTGCTCTGACATGAATAGGATAATTCCACATTTCAACTGATTTATATCCCATTTTGGGGTTTGGGGAATTTTATATTTTTTTTTGGATTCTGTTAATTGTGATACTAAAATTTAATTTGCCATTGTGGTCAAATTACCTTTCCATTCACTTTAATTCCAAGTATTTTATTTTGTGTGTAATTATGAGCCAATTTGTGGGATTTGATGGAGTGATTTTGGTGCCTAGAAATTTAGGTCTTCTGGAGTGAAGAAGTCGTTGAAGGAGGAGGCTTTGGATAGCTTGAAGGCGTTGTCTACTGGTTCTGTTGAAGAAAAGGGTCCACCTTCACCTGTTCAGGCATTGTTGGGTGGAATATCAGCCGGTGTCATCGCACTTATTCTTTATAAGTTCACTACTACAATTGAAGCATCTCTCAACCGCCAAACAATTTCTGATAATTTTTCGGTCTGTTCCTTGATTTGCCCCATGTCCTTAACTTTTAATTAAGTTGTTCCTGATACGTTGGTTGTGGATATATTTGTTGAAGTGACACATTTATTCTCTGTGAGCCTGCTGCTACTGTGGTAGTTTCTCCTGGTTTGCCTAAAAACTTTCAGATAAATTCTCTTGCACGTTAATGGCCTTTTGATTTATGTTGCATCATTTCTTTTGTATTGAGTTTAGCCACTATGCTCTAAGTTCACTGTTGAATAGAACAGTAGGATTAAGAATGTTAAGTTCTTAAATAATTTGAAGTATGACTGGTGATAACTTGCACAATTTGAACCACAAAATGTTTTTACTTTTCATTTCTATTGAATGTGGTGGTAGCAAAATTTTACTATGGACAGCTTTTCATTTCTATTCTTGTTGGTATGTGAACTTGGTTCACTTTCATTGACTACTCAACCTAGACTCTAATCACTGTACTTGTTTTTCTACTCTTCAGGTTCGTCAGGTTACAATAACCATAAGGTAGCTCCTATTACTACTTCCTTTCGATGTTCCTTGCTTTTAAATCGATCCGGAGAATGATAACCTTTAATCTCCTGTTGTCAGGACGATTATAAATGGGTTGTGCTACCTTGCAACATTTGTTTTTGGCATCAATGCTGTTGGTTTAGTCCTTTATGCTGGTCAGCTCGCCATCAACTCCATCATGGAAGATACAAGTACAGAAACTGAGAATCAAGGTAAAGAGCAGTCAGGCTCACTGAATTCAACGGTTGAGAGCCCCCCAAATAGTGGTGTGAACAGCGGCAAGGATGACCAAAGTTCAGATGAGACACAATAGAGGAGTAGAACCGTTATTGACGCAGAGGAATAGGTTTTTTTCCATTTCAACCTCGTTCTAGGAAAATTATATTTTCAATGAAATAGATGCCATTTCAGGCTTTTGTCTTTTCGTCAATCTATGCGCACTAAACCCTCTATGCAATTAGTAAATATGATTGTCAAAGATGCAATGGCCACAGAAGCTGCCTTTAATGTTTGTGTATCTTGCATATTCATCCGGCAGAAAGTTATAAACTAACAAGAGATGATCTAGGAGTTTCAGTCTTAGACCCTAAACCTATATCATTCATTTTGACAGAAATTTGTGGAACGAATTGACAATCATTTTAGCTGCCTGCATTTCAATAGAACATAACTTATCCCAAAAAAGTAAGAAAACAACAAATCAGCAGAACATGTTCAATTTGTTTATCTGTCATCAGAAGTAGCCCAAGGTTTTGTGCTTTGCCAATCATGCAGAACTTAAAGTAAAGCCAGTTGAAATTTAACCAAACTGTGGATGTCAAGATGAATGCGCTGCATCTATTGATCTTCCAAGGGTTTATACAGATATTAGCTGAAGAAATAAATAAGCAAACTACAAATTCAAAGGGTTTAAGTAAGAAACTAAAAATTCAAAATGATTTAAATTATTAAAACCATTAAATCAGATCATGTCAAAGTTTGCTACTAAAAAAAAAGTTAGAGATGGGAATTAGCATACACAACATGTGATTTTCCAGACCTCTCTCTCTCTCTCTCTCTCTCTCTCTCTCTCTCTCTCTCTCTCTCTCAAGTGTTATACTCTAAAGATATTCTCCTATACTTATTGCCTCTTAGTTTGTACTTTACATGATGCTGGTTGTTGGTTTCAACCTTGAGCTCTGCTTCCATCCATGTGTGATCTTTCATGATGTTGCTCAATAACCCTTTCTATTCTGCTGTTTTCTTCACCAATTTTCCTGAGCACATTATGACTCTTGGCTGGTCGGAACTGATGCAATGGAGTGGAATTTGAATCAAGCCTGTGCAAAATCAACACCATAATCACTGAACAAACAAACATCGGAATTGGACCAAAAATCCAGAGGAGCAAAGTAGTGGCAAAGTAGATAGCTCTTAAACCCAGAGTCCAGAACAAGCCACCACTTATCACAGCCTTCTCCACATGAGCCAAAGGAATGTCACTGTCTGGCATGCTGATGAGGAAATTGGCATGGACAAAGTTTCTTATGCAATGTAAAAAGGAAGCCAAAGCAAGCAGGAAGCAGGCCAGAATGCTAATATATTTTATAGAAATTATGGCAGGACTTGTGTCACCATATATAATGCTACTCATGAAGATGTTGTGTGAAGAGCTCCCAATCCATGCTCCAATCAGAGAGCTCAATGCTAAAGAGGTTGAAGCTAAGAAATTCGCCGCTGTTATGGTGCCGGAAATTACTGTTAGGGACAGGCCTCTGTCCTTTGCTTCAACCTGCAATTAATTAGAGACCAATTAAATTTGAACTTGATTAGCATGCTATTAATTTATATTAATTAGAGTCTTGCTGACCTGCAACATTCTCTCAACCCAAGCTTTTCTGCAGTGGTTCTCATTGCCAATGACTGTGGTTTCTGGATGTCTTAGGCATCTGTAGAGAAGAAAGAGATGGTAGCAAAACATGATTAGCAAACCAGTTGGGACCAACACTAAATCTAAGTATTCTTTCTTCCAAACCATTCTCTCTCTCTCTCTCTCTCTCTCTCTCTCTCTCTCTCTCTCTCTCTCTCTCTCTCTACTAAGATGAACAAACTAATTGTTGGGTTTGGTTGGGTTTTTGTCAAGATTCATAAGTTAATAATATTCTGGCTGTATAGTGGGTTTGGTTGGTTAAGTAGAGGCAATTTGGTTTTTACTTTTGAATGAAGATGACCGACCTCTCAATTAATCAATAATAAAAAAGATGAAGATGATCAAGATCATGACCAATAAGATGTGCACAACTTTTCACATACGAGTCAGCAAAGACAACTTATAAATACCATGCAGTGCAGTGCAGCTCTTCTTTTACAGTACTTCACATGGAAATAGAAGTCGTTGTGAACATGTTTCAATGGTTAGGAGAGCTCGTAAGGTTACAAAGTTTGGTTCACACTTCACAGCTTCACGTACTCTTTTCAAAGTTCCAAAACTCTTCACAGCAGTTGGTACTATTAGACCAATCAATCAAATTTTGTCACCGCAGATTATAAAAAATGACAAAACTCTTCACAGCTGATTTGTCTCGGGCAAGAAGTAATAATAATGATTTAGATTCTACAATGTTGGCCAAAGTTATTGTGTTCCAACTCCGTAGTTATTTTCCCTTTGATCTCTTCAAGTGATATTAAGTTTCTTTTTGTCCCAACGACTGTCATTCATGAGATTTGAACTCAGGAACTTCTCCAACGAAACGAAGTGAAAATTAGGTGACTAAGAATATCAACATAGTGAAAATTAAGTGACTAGATTGTGGATCCTTAATTCAAATCTTTTGGTTTGTGAAAAATTTGAAAGTTGTATAGTTTCTCAATTGTGGTTTCCTTCTAAACTCAAGCTAGCAAATCAACGCATCTCAAGTAGGAGAATGACATAATTTTCTATGTTTTGGGGCTCATATTTCTAAGTTTGCCTGTCAAGTTAACTGAAATTGGGCTCTTTGCACTTTATACGCAGTTGGTGATGCTGGAATGGGCTACAATAATAGGTTGCTTTTGTGCATCTTCAGTACCATGGCATAGGATTTTGTGAATTACAAGTGAATAGTGTAGTCAGGTAACCTTTGCAATTGATGAGCAAATCACAGACATATAATGAGGCCAATGAAAACCTGCTTGTTCTTTTCAGTCTCCCATAGTAGATGATCCTCCAAAGGCAAATGTAGATGGTAGAGCCCCCACTTTTCTTTGTTTTGGCATTCATTTTTTTATATGTTAGTCCTTGTCCTTACCTTAAAAAGGACCTCCATAGTGAAAGAAAATCTCTGTCCAGGAAAAGATGGAATCTCTGTAAAAGCTTCAAATCACTAACTTGTGCTGCTGCTTTGGAAATAGTTGAACACCCTAACAAAGACTTGATAAAATAATTATAATAATAAAAAAACAATATTAAATAATTCAGTAAACCATGCCTTTAGAACCTTTTTCTCTTTAAATTTTTCTAGCACTTACAGATACTTAGAAACAAAAAAATATAAACTCAAGGATTGGGACAGAGCAGCATTATGGGGAATGTGACAACTTAGGCAGCTTGTTGCTACAACTATCTTGAATTGCTGTCAATTATTTTATGCTGCCACATCTAATCAATGTAAAGCAATCTACTTTAATGTTCTGTTTTTGTTGCTACATTTCTCTCTGTTCTTTTTTCTTTTTCCCCTAAATTTAGCAGTTGTTTTCTTTTCTTTGAACATCTGATTGTGCATCACAACTAATAAAGTGATTATATCAAATAAAATTCTTTTATATTAAAAAAGCAGATTATTTAGCTAAACAGGGTAGTAGGGTTTGCTAGCAAACAGCCCTTTCAGCTGACAATGGTGAAAACTGGTCAGACAGGTTGGTAGAGTAGAAGTAGCAGAATTAAAGGCACCCAGGAAGTGAGAATTGAGATTGCTTGGTTGGCATTTGAATAAGGGAATGGCTTGAAAATAAGCTAAGGGCCTTTTGGGATGGGTTGAGGTTGAGCTCCTCCTTGAATCTTAATCTCATCTTATAAACACTTTGATATTATATGAGATTAGAACAAGTCTTATGGATATTAGATGATTCTTAATATCATCTACTTCGACCAAAAAAAAATTTAATCTCATCTACAAGCTATTGATATTAAATTATTTCAGGCTAAGGTTGACACCAATTGTCTTTTCAAATAAAACATGCATGGAATTTCCAGAAGGCTTATAAACGAGAGAAACTCTCACATAACTGGATAACACAATGATACGTAGGATTTTTTTTATTTGTATGTTAATGGCCGGGAATATCAAAACAGTTATACTCCGTTAGAAGTTCGTTTTTTTTTCCTTATAAACACTTCATTGTCACATCTCCTCCTCTCCTTGAGAAAAACTTGTATATCATGAGATAACGTTATTTTGCCATCCACAACTAATCATGTTCTGTCACACATGATAATTGTTCCACATGGCAAAATGTGATGGGTATAAATGTTTCACATGACGGAATGTAATTGATGGGGTATAACAAAACAGTGATTTCTTTGTGATATGCAAAACTTCTCCCTCTCCCCTCTCCTTCTCCCTCTCCCTTCCCTAAATAATATTCCTAACAAATAAATAAACTAATAAAAACAATATTTATCTGAGCACAAAGCAAGCTGGAGCTCCACTCCCCAACCAAAGTTTCTGAATTTGGCTCAGGCTCTCAAGAGTGCCTTTGTTTCTGCTACCCAATATGCAACCACACTCTGCCCTGCACTCTGCTCTAAAACCTAAATACCCCCATAGCCCATGTGTTTCACCACCTTCTTACATGTGCACACCAGAAAAAAGCAATCTTTAACTGCCATCATTTACCCTATAAAGGAGAGCAAAGCAGCTCTTTTTACAGTCTACCCGCCAAACAAGTGCTTGCTGCTCTGCGCATACCCATGCCAATACCAACTTTTACAGCATCACCATTTATTCAGAGCAAAGGAGAAAAAAGTAGAAAATAGAGGAACCCATCATTTTGTTACAGAACCCAATCTAAGAGGCAAAAACCTGTCCTGCAATTTCTGACCGTTCGATGCATCCACTTGCATTCTAACCCAAGTGAACAAGTTTTGACATGAACAGAAAAGGGAAATTGAAATCAATTATAAATAAATTTATAAGAGCAACATGAAAAAAGAATTTATAGAAAATCACTACATAAAGATGTACAAACCCAAAAAAATAGAGCAATAACATCACTCTGAAAAAACCTAGAGTCACCCCATACATATATAATCATACAACTTCCTACATCATTTTTTTTTCTTTTTTTTTGGTTTTTCACAATCCAAATTAATTTACCTCGGCTCAGTCAGAACCCGACCCCAGCCGCGCCGACTCCCATCGCCGCCCGCCTATGCGGCTCCATCTTCCTATTCTTCCAAAAACACGTCTCCGCCGCCGCGAGTTTACCCGCCGACCTCATCGGCTCGGACTTGCAGCGCGTAAGCACAAACGGCTCGTAACCAGTGGACCCCACCAGCTTCTCCCCTATCATCGTGGCCATCGAAACCGGACCTGCCTGAACTGGGAACGAACAAGACGACCTCGGCGGCTGAATGACCGGCTGCGCCGCCGGCGCCGCAGCAGGATTCGAGTCGATGCTGACCCGCTTCTTGGCCTCATCTGGAGCGTCGACTTTCTTGACGTGTCGCTCCGGCAGGCATCGGATGAAGTCCGTGGTGCAGACCCAAGTTTCCTTGGACACCTCCATGGACAATTTAGGCTCGCACATCATTAACAGTAGGCAGTCCGGTAAGACGGGGTTCTGAACCGCCCGCGTCGACCCGGAATCCAATTGGTTTTTCAGGTTTTCGGATACGGGTTCGGGCCTCTCTTGGGTTACTGTCTCTGTTTCTTCCTCTGTTGATTCGTCTGCAACTTCAGCCTCTGTTTTTTCTTCTTCCTCCTCTTCTTCTAGTTCTTCTGACTTTACACACTCATTGGAACGTATTGGAAGCTTTACTTCTCTAGCTTCCTCTTCTTTTTCTTCTTGTTGCTCTTGCTCTTGTTCTGTAGCTTCACATTCGTGGTCATTTTCTTCAAGTTCTAACCTTTCTGGATCTGCAACAACATCAAGTACACAACACTCTTCTGACAATGCTTGCTGGGTTACATCCAATTCTTGTTCCTCTTCTTCCTCTAATTCTGCTTCTTGTTGGCATTCAGCCTTCTCTTCAATCTCTTCTACTTCATCATAAAGTTGCTGCCTTTTTTCTGGGTTCGAATCCAAACCTTCTTTCTCATCCTCCTTTTCTTCTAAAACCAATTTTTCTACCTCTTCCAAGTCTCCATGTTCTTCACCATCGCAAACCCATTTCTCACACACACCATCCCCTTCAGCAACCTCTGTCTCCAACCCATTTTGCACCTTCTCAAGTACTTCATCAGTACCTTGTTCTTCTACAAAGTCTTGTGCTTTTTCTGTAAGACCCTTGTCCTCTTTCTCCTCTTCATCTTCAACCTCTTCATCTTGAGGAGCAGCAGGCATCTCCCAAAATCGATTAGCAAGAGCAGCCATTTTCACTGGATCAGATCTACACCTCATGAGCAAAAGAGCATTCTTTGGAGGAACACAAATACTCACTCTCCCTGCTTCTTCTTCCTCCATTACACTCTCATTCAATCTCTCTTCATTGAACTCAATACCTTCAAACACTTGCCTCCTCTGGCTATGGCCACTGCTACTATTAGTACTTCTCTCTGTTCTTTCTTGATCTTCACCCACCACCAACTCAATCTCTCTCCCTTTCCCATCCCCATCTTGCAAAGCAACAAACCACCTCGCAAAGACTGCACCACAAGATGACCCTCCACTCTCTGATGTCACTCCCTTATTTTCTTCTTTCTCCTTGTTATTATTATCATCACTAGCCAAACAAGAAGACCGGTTCGGAATCAAGCAGTTAAACTCGGACCCAAAAGCCCTCAAAGCTTCACAAATCGTCAAAGGAAGATGAACCCACCTCTGGTTCCTGTGCCTCAAGCATTCCTGTTGATTATTATTATTGATCTGGTGATTTTGAAAGTGCAAACCTTGGAAGTTGTTGCTGCTGTTGTCTCGATTGTAAAGCTCTTGACTTTGACTAGCTGTGTTGTTGGTGCTCTGCTGATTTTGCTCTGGTTTTCTGAAACTAGCCTCACTTCCCCTGCTGCGCTTGGATCTACTAATTATCCTCATTTTCTTGCCCTGTTTCTTGGTCTTGACCCTGACCTGACCAATACATGTGACCTTAGGGGAAGAGGGTTCTGGGTTTTCAAAAGCGCACCCACGTTTTTTACTAGTGCCACCATTGCTAGGGAACATTGGGGAGGCTTGGCCACCCTTGATGCTTCCACTGGTTCTGAGCCTGCGGCTGAGAGAAGAGGAGAGGGAGATTTGGGAAGGCTCTCTGGCTCGGCCTGGGCTGAGAATGGACTTGGAGGAGAGCTTCATGGATGAAGAAGAGAGGCGAGAAGTAGTGAAGCAAATGAAGAGCTCGCTTGTAGTTGTGGATGTAGTGCCACTAATGCTGCTGTTGCTTTTTGTGCGATGGGGTCTGTCTGACTCCATTGTTTTTCATTATAACTTTTACTGAGCTGTGGTTGTGGTGGTGGCCATTAGCATAAGCAGAGCAAGATTGGGGGGGGCTATGATTGATGAATATTTGTTTGGTTTGTATGGTGGGTTGTGCTGCAGAGAGAGAGAGAGAGAGAGAGAGAGATTTATTGGTACTGGAAGGTGACAGAATGGAGTTTGTCTTTATCAAAATGGAACTGAGTGAGTGTAAGGATCTGGTTACTTGGGCCTTGAAACTAAGTTACTGTGATACATGCGTTACAATTACATGACCATAATGCCCTTCGTCTTTGTAGATTATTACTTCAAAGTTTGGAGGAGTTTATTGTGACTTATGAGCATGCATGGTTTGCTTGCTTTCTAGCTTTAGCCTTTTAGGTGTGGAATCTTGGTACTCAAATCTAAAAGTCAAGGAAAAGAAGGTACACGTACACCAAAGACCAACCAAAGATATGAAAAGGTGGGAAGAAAAGGGAATGGATGTTACTGAAAAGCCACTTGCATACGAAGGAACTATGTGGTAAACCACTTCCCTTAAGTTCCGTTTGGTTCATAAAAAATGAGGCTTGAAAATGAGAAATCAATTGCTTTCTCATATTTAATAAGTAAGGCATGGGAAATCATTACCTTGCACATGAAAAAATAGGAGGATAGTGAAGCTCCCCTCATCTTTGGGTTTTGTTTTCCTCTTTATGGGAAAGTTTAGGAAAATGAGACAATGTTGAATACATATTTTTCATGATCATATTGTCTCTATTAACAATTTAGAATTATAATATAGCATTAACTGCATTCTTTTTTTATTTAATTTCATATAGGTATAATTGAAAAATTAAACAAACTTTATTTTACATTCCTATACAAACCAAACATGTGAAATGAAATAAAGTGGTATTTCTTGATTACTTTCTCAAGATTACTAAACATGGGAAGGGAATCTTCATTTCTCATCCTTAAGGAAATTATATAGGAAGTGATTTTCCCTTAAATCAATTTTGTGAACCAAACGGGGCATAGTTTTGAAAGGAAGGTGATGGGCTATATTTTACCATCACTAGCAGTATAAGGTTAAATCATAGACCCTCAATATTTTATTAGTTTTTAATATATTCTTTAAATATATTGAATAATTTAATTAAAGTATTATTTTAGACCCTATTTAAAATTTATTTTAGAAGATAAAAATATTTTCGGATTGGATATGATTAATTTAAAAACAACTAGCTCACCCAAGAATCAGGCCATATTTGGCATGCTGACTAGGTTTGGCCCAGTGATATGGCACATATAACCCATTTGCTGGAGATGAGTTTTGAGTTTGGAAATGGCCTAAGCATCTTATTGAAAAGCCACGTTACTCATTTACTTTTTATAAGCCTAAGAGATCTATGGTATTAGTTTGATGAGGAGGCACACCCATTCATAGTTTTTGATACCATGAAAAAAGTTGATGTTTCAGTTCAAAATAAATTGACAATAGGGGAGCACTCCAAATACATTTTGAGATTTATTTCTAAACGCTTTCAAAAACGTTTTAAGTCGTTAAAAAGCGATTTTAACCTTTCTAAAAACAGTGTAAACACGTACTTAATAATCAATGTGCATGATTGCAACTAGGTATCGCATATAATGGGACTTTGGACATGTTACTTTCATGAGATGGTGTGGTGTGTGTGATGTGAACTACGGGTCCTCAAGCAACGTGGGAAGATAATGATAAGCAAAAGCAATAACAATAATAAAAAAGACAAGAGTGACAAATGAGTGTGTCTTTGGAAATATCAAGTCCACCATTTTCACCATCCGTGTAAGTCTAGAAGAAGCACTTTCTCGACTTTTTTCCACACCATCGCTATTTTCACTAGCCGTTTTCTTCCCCTCCTCAGCAGCTAAATGACAAGGATGCAGTGGCAATTTTGTTATTCAACGCCAAAAAGGTGGGCCTTTTCGGGCATCGAGATCACATGGAGGGGTCGACAGGGACGATGTGAAAAACAGAGAAGAATCCAAAGGACGCACGTGACCAGACCCCGAGATAAAACGACTAGATTAGATTACCATCATCATCATGCTTCATTAGCTTATCAACGGTCATGATCGCATGGTCATATCATGACGTTGGAAGATTTGTTGACCAACGCGCTACGGTGGGGAGTGCGAAGCAGTTTGGTATCTGTACGGTCTGTACTTGGGTTAATTACTTCACGCTCGTTGGATTGGAGAGTGGGGGTGGGTTCTGAAAGGCTCTGTGTTCAATGTACTATAGTCGCACGCTTCACATAGAGAACCGCAAATAAGCAGCGCGTGAGGGGGGATAAGATTAATAAGAGAGGCGTTATTGCGGGAGGGAAGTACCCCAATGTAATACCCTCCTAGCTCAAATACTTACTTGCCATGTCAATAAAACTTAAAAGTAGGAGTCATTATCAATTTTCAGATAAATTATAGTTTTTTTTAGGTGAACAAAAATTTAAGGGGGGATTGGCTACTTTCCCCAAAAGCGTCAGGGCAGATTCACAACTTTGAACCCAAAGAACTTATGCGTGGTACTTAATTGCAAACTGCAATCGGTATGGATTTATATAGGAAATTACAGATTGCGCACCAACGAGGATTGCTGGCAATGGCACTCGAACACTAGTGGGGCTACACATATATAGGAATCTTACCAACTAAACTAACCCTCGTTAGCAGATAAATCATAGTTCGATATGTGTGTATAAATTTTATTTTTGTAATTTTAATGATTATTTTTGCATATGTTTCATATTGTAATTGGTCTATAAGTATGAATAACTCGTTGAGCAATGTCTCAATCCAAACTAATCTATATTTAAATGGAAAATATTTGAAAGAAATGATTAAATGTATTTGAAATAGCTAGTTACACTATATTCGGAATAAATTTAAAATAATTATATACAAGGAACCACCGTTTGAAATTAATTTGTTTTTTTTTCATCTCTTTTTTATATTTAGATTGTAGTAGTAGCATAAACAAACAATTTAACTTTATACATTCTATGACAAAGGATAAAGGGCCTCAACATCACAATTTTAAAATATGAGTTTGATTTGGTTTTAAAGAAAACATATGTCCCAAAAAAATTATACACCGTTGCTTCTCCCAAAATACTATTCGTCTTTGTTTTCTTGTAATAGAAAATAATTATATATAATAAATAAATAAAAACCCGGAACAAACACAAACCATCAAACATTGTGTTAGTGTTTTTTCCTATTTTTTCTGGGTTAACATGGTATGTGCCTCTTTGATGATTATCAATATGACAACATAGTGCCTTCAACAGACAATTGCTGCAAATAATTTAATACCAAGCCAAGCTGCTAAAGCGTCGTTAATGTAATGACATGTGAAAAAGTTATTTTACGTATTACTGTTATGGGAGTTTCTCTCACACAATAAAAGAAAGCAGGGCAAAGCAAAGCATGACGGATGATGTAGAAAATAATAAATGGGTCAAGGTTTCTTGAAAGAGGGGGGGTTTGGTTTGACCAACATTTACACCAGAAGCAGACAAAACAAGTATCAAAAGCAGATTACTAGTTTAATTTTTAATACAGAAGAATTTTGTAGGCTGTTTAAATTAATCCCAGAAGTCAGGTGATGCCAACTGTTAATGTAGCATAAAGGTTTGGTTCTAAGTGTTTTTTTTAATACATGTTGGGCCAAAGATTATAAATTAGCATGTTACTCTGTTATCTGGATATCACATACCTTCAAATTTCAATAAGAGATCAGGTGGTCCATGGCTGCCTCAGTCAGCCCTATGGAAATAGGTCATGCATGCCTTTTTACCTCACTACTATTTGACTCACCCATGCTACAGTTTTAATTACCCTTACTTCTGTCATATTTAATTTTCTGGTGGTAAAAAGTGAACAAATAAATCATAATCGTCAACGGGTCAAGCCCAATTATTTAGATTATTGCTTGTAGTTTAGATTATTGTTTGGTAGTGTGTGTGTGAGAAACTCTCCTCCTCTTATAGTTTAGACTATCGTTTCTATTAGGAAAAAAGTCACAACTTAACATTTTCATTGAGGTGGTTACTAATTGACCGAAAAGCAACACATAACATTTCTAAGTTTTGGTCAACTACATTGATGGAAATGTGACTTTAGACCCAATTGCAAAAGCTAAAGTATACTTGTATTCAAAACTATGAGAATCAAAGTCGAATTCAGTCCAAACTACATGAATCAAGTAAGTAATATGATTTTAGAACCAATTGCAACAGTTAATTTTTCATCATGTGATGAATATTAAAGGATTGAGGAGATAGATATACACCCCGTTGCAGGTAAGTTTTTCTCCCTATTATTAGCATGTTTATACAGGGAAGGAGAGTAACAAAAAGTCTAAAACATCATTCACTCAAACCTTGCTGACTTGTGCTCTTCTAGTGCTTGGGATTGCCGGAACCTTATGAGATCTAGCCAGCTTCTTCTCTGGACAAGTTGCTCCATCTCTTGCAGTTTGGCCTTTAGACATTGCACTTCTTTTTCTAAATCTGTGCCTTTTTGCTTCATTGCCTACATTTTGAAATGTGAAAAATACTAATTACCAAAATGCTAGGGCTGTATAGCTACTTGTATTTAAATCATTGAACTAGATCTTTTGTACTTGAATTTACCTCTATTTCTTGCTTGCGCTGCTCCTCCTTTCTAGCTTCTGATCTAGCACTTCTTTGCACCTCAAAGATTATAGCAAGTCCTGCAACCTAAGCAAACAACGCAGCTATAACTTCAAGTGGCCTATAATATATCAACAAAGGAAGGAGAGATGTCAACAAAGATATTAATGCTGCAAAAGATGAGAGTCAAGTCAACCAAAAAATTTATATTTGACTTTCCTCTGCAGACCATGCACTTCCAGCAATTGCATAGGGTTTCCTCAAAAGTAATGCAACACTCTGCAGCCTAGAGAGACAAGGTTAAAGATAATACGGCGGCCGGTGGTTACCGTGAAGATAACAAGTTCCCCAAGAAGCTCTGCAGCAGCTCCAACAGCTTTTTCTTCATCCATAGGACGGATCACAACATCTGTTGCCCGTCCATATAGACGTCTTTGTATATTTGTTCTGAAACGATAGTTTGCCTGATTCAAGTAGCAGGGTTACTATATAGTACATCACTTAAAACCAAATAGTTTGGATGTTCAAAGAGCAAGTTGTATGTATCATTGAAGACCAACTTAATGAAAAGGACTTGGTTTACATCTCACCCCATTCTGAAAAATCTCATTCTTATTTTGCTTTTAGATCATTCTTCCATATCAAATGATCTTGACAAAATATTAATTTGATGTGTTTGACAAAAGTTCCCAACCAATCCCTTAACACTGGCAAATATGAATGTCCATGACAATTCAGTAATCTTGTGAGGAACCAAAAGAGAACAAGAAAACCCAATTGAAAAATCAAACTTTTAGCACAAAATAGCATTCATAAATAATCAAAATCTACACACAAAGAAAAAAAAACAATTACATTAAAAGAAAGAGAAAAGAAGGCGGCAAGTGAATTTTAGAGAGAGAGAGAGAGAGAGAGAGTAAACCTGGGCAAAGCTGATGATGTAGTCACGAAACCTGGGGTGTAAGCCAGCCTCTACTTTGAGCCTTCTAGCAATTGGCCGGGAAATAGTTCGTAAGGCTAGTGTTCCAAGCTTTAACAATGGAAGCATTCTCTCTCTCTCTCTGTGATTGAAATACGTAGCTGTATTATGGTGTGCACGTACAAGAATATTGGGTCGTGTAAAAGCTTTCGGTTCTTGTCAAGCAAGAAAACTTACAAGATATACTCGAGATTAGAACAGACAGGGGAGAGATGGTGGCTACTTCTTTGGCAAGTCAGTATGCAAATAATTTAGGATAAGAAATAACTTTTTTCCTACCTACACAATTGTATTTTTTTTCTTTCCCTAAACCTCTGATAGCTGTTTTATGAAGCCCGTTCAGGAGAGTACCGCCCTTTAATTATTAGGGTTCAGGCCTAGCAACCTTAAGCTCAAGCTTGCCTGTATGGTGCAATTTTTTTATTTTTAAAACACGTGATAGTCTAAACTAAGAGAGACGGGAGTTTCTCATACACACTATCAAGGTGTCATGGGGTTTGAACTTGAGACCACTAGTGTAATTAGGCTGTGAAGTTCTTCCAACTGCAAATTAAAAAATAAATTATAAATAAACTCGAAAAAATGGTGAAAAATGTTTTTCCCATAATAGCTTAAAGAGGCTCTCGCAGTTGGAACTTTTCCCCTACCAGGTGCTTGGCAATTGCAAATGTTGGGTCACATTATACCTCAAATGATGCTTCGGCAAAACCAACTTACTAAAGTTGGGTCGAGTCGAGTCTAATAAGCAAACTCTTTCATCTTGTAAATTTATGATTTGTATCAGACTACTGAATTACAAAATAGAGCAATTTTAAAGATTTATCACAAGAACATTCTCAAACATTTACAGATTGCCAACCGGATATAAAGCCTTTTTCAACCCCTGAACTTGCAACTCCTGTACAACTGCCAGTTCTTATTGTATGGAGAAGTGTAACCAACGGAGAGATGCTAAAGGCAAATATAGTGGTAAAATGTGCAAGAAATAGACAAAATCAGTACAAGCTGTAATTTTCATCAATCAAATTTGAGCACTACTTTGCCATGGATCTGCTTCTTCTCCTTTGCCTCATGAGCCTCTATCACTTGAGTAATGGGAAATGTTTTCTCCACTGGTATATTCAATTTTCCGGCTTCGGACAGCTTTTGGATCTCAAATAACCCTTCTGAGTCGGCTCTCATGTAAGTCCACCAGTATTCTACACCATCAACAGAATATATACAACTTGTTAAAATAACAACCAAGGCTTGCATAGGTAATATCAGAACATGTAATTTCGGCATCAGATGTTACCAGACAAAAACATACCTGATCTTAAAAAAAACACAAAAAGAAAGAAGGTTTTCAGACCATCTTTTGTTATTTAATATAATTAGACATGCTTATTATGTCAATTAACACAATAAACCATGAACTAATGACAAAACGTGTAACATCAACTTATTTTATCAATATTATATTCTTCCTAGTACTCCTCCCCTTTATTGCCTTTGTCCTATTCAAGTCTAAAACTGCTTCAAAATTCATACGCAAACAAAACCAAAGCAAGCGGGATAAAAGGTTTAAACCAAAAAAACATCAACAAACTCGCATTTAATCAACTTGTGAAAATATTATCACACTTTCCCCGCTTTAAACAAATAATGAACTTAAAGTGCGCACCATGATGAAACATGTACCAAAAAATGAATGCTGGTTTTACCTATTCCATGAGAACAGCGGTACTGATTCTGTTTCTTTAGTAACACAGCTGTAGCAACTGGAAGCCCAAAAGCTATCCCATACCTATCAGTCAAAGATGCTGCCTCACCCTACAACAAAAAGAGGATAAAAGCCTTATCAGCCTATGCTGCAGAATTCTGAAAGGAAACATCAAAGGTCCCTTAGAGAGGCAATACTAACAAGTTTCCATCTCCTACCTGAAGTGTCATGTAGTGTCCACCTCTTTTTAAAAAATTTATGCTTGTTCTTTCGGTTTCTAGCCCACCAATGGTGTCCAAAACAGCATCAAACTTCCCCTTTATTACAAATTCAATGTCCTGTGAATCAAACATGTTAGCTCAGCAAAGAAATCATTTGTGATTTTTACACCCATATGCACATAGAAACATTTTTCTATATAGGAGTTTCGCTTGGCTAGGGAGGTGAAATGAAAGTCAAGTAGCAGTTGATTACATCATCACCTCAGCAGTATAGTCAACAGCCTGCTCAGCACCAGCTGCCAATACTCGATCTATACTTTGCTTTCCGCAGGTAGTTGTAACATGGCAGCCTTTGGCTACTGAAATCTGAATTGCAGCCAAACCTACAGCTCCTCCACCACCCACCACTAACACCCTTTGTCTGTAGAGATCAGATGCAATAACAAAAGGATGCTAAATTGTTAATGACAGTTAGCAACTTCAAAAAATAATAAAAATAACAAGAGACAAGACATTTTATAAAAACATACCCCTCAGCTATCCTAGCGGTACTTTTGAGAGCACGCCAAGCCGTCAGAGCAGCAAAGGGAATGACACTTGCTTCCTAGGATCACACAGAACAAGATAAAGCCAAGTTCTGTAGTCAGAAAGCAATAAACAGAATGTAAATGTTAAACCTCTCCTCCACTTAACTGTACATAATCATCATCAATTCCTAAGGTAGATTGGAATCCTGAGAGAATTGATTACAAAACATAGTATGCTCATATTACATGCTACATTGAATTTCGCCCATCTCGTATCATATGCAAGCCACTTTCAATATTTCCTACAGACAAGATAAAAATGGGAGTGGAAGCAGAAAAACATGCTCACCCCTAGAGTTCAAAATAAAAATGATTGCCAATTTTCACAAAGCACCTTCTCATTTGCTGTTTAATATTTGTGGCCTGAGTTCCATATCAGGTGGTTTCTACTCCAAATAATCTATAATCTAAAGCTAAGAAAACTGTTTTCTACCATTCTATTTTCTCCTGAGCAAGGTGGAAGTTTAAATGATGCTTCGTTTTCCCCTTCACCATGTTTTGAAGCTATAAACCTTTCAACACTAGCTTCCCATAGTTGATCAAATAACAGCAAAGAAAGCAGAAATAAACATTTTAAGGTAATAACACTTTTCTACCACCTACTAAATCATCCTCTAACACAACTAAAACTGAACCATCCACTAACACTATATTGAGGGTACGAAGAATAACAGAACACATAGAGCCAAACCAAATCATAAAAAGCAAAAGACCACCAAGTGTAACATTCTACAGTTCTTTAGCTAGGATCAAAGTACAACAACATTTACCACATGTGTAACTGACGCTGGTTTTGGTGCAAGTTCCTCATCTGATAGAATTGCATACTCAGCATAAGTACCCCTTACAGCAGTAGGATGCAATGCACCAAAAACTTCTTGTCCTACACTCAATCCCCGAACTGAATCTCCCACAGCTGCAACTTCACCACTAACATCACGACCCAAAATAAGAGGTAGAAGGGGTTCAAATATTGAACGACCATAGCCAGATCGCATCTGAAAAAAAAAAAATTAAAACCCAGAACACTGAATACAATGATAACATTATTGCATAGTATTACAGAATTAGTGAGCTGCAACCTCAGCCGTATGACAAGCATAAAATGAAATAATCTTATGAGAGTTTGAATCAAGGCATTCATGTTATCTATGGGCTATTTGAAACAGGAGGAAAGAGCAAATGCATGAAAAATAATAATAACAATAATAATAGCAGGCGTTCATGTTAAAATCTTGCTTTAATAATGATAATAAATTGACAGCCAATGATGTTTGGATTAGAAAATCATTTTCTATATGGTCACGCTACAACAGAAACTAATTATAAATATATCTTCAACTTACATGTGATAACATTCTAGACTAACCAACCTAATGTCATCACTCAAACACTCAAATGTTAAACATACTCAGAATCATAATTACTGTATAGATGCAGCTGAATGATTAAAGAAGTTTCTCATATATAAAAAAAAATGCTGATTGGCACAAATATGAAAATTTGTGGCTCAAGTTATTGTTGGAATTGGAAATGGCCAAAATAGAGAAGAGGAGCTGAAAATCAAAAACTTAATTTCCCTTGTTTCCTCAGCAACCAAACAGACCTTAGAAATTAAACAGAAGAATCAATTAACGAAAGAAATGACATTTGACTCACTCTGGTATCGAGGGGATTGATGGAGACGGCACGAGTGCGAACGAGGACCTCATGGGGCTTGAGATCAGGGACTTTGACATTGGGCCGGAGCTCCAGAACCTCAGGCCCACCAAAGCGCGGCAACACCACGGCTCTACAGCTGGTGACGAAGCGCCTGAACCCTACATTGAAGTGGTAATTGGAGTCGGAGACTGAGGCTCTGAACCTCCGTGACCTCAGAATTCGCATTGTGACTTTGCGATAAACCAGAAAGCTCAGATCATCAGAGAAAGATCGAGAGATAGAGCGAGTTTATTAGGGTTTTAAAGAGAAGGAAATATGGAAGTGAGAGGGAAGCAGAGAGCGAGAGAGAGAGAGAGAAACGTGTCTTGTTTTGGTCCGCAGAGAAATTTAGAAAGAGAGGGTTCGTTCGTTATGTTTCGCATTGCGTCGTGGCTGGCTTTGCTTTCTTGGATTTTGTGGGGGCCACCTTTGCTTGGGCCTTTGGCTCATTTTAGTGTTTCTTTGCATTTTCTGCTAACTTCTGCGTTTTCATTCGTTTAAATTTGGTTCCATTCCCCCACAATGGACTTTAGGCACCGTTTGGTTCACGGTTAGGGTTTAGGTTAAGGTAATATTCATCTTTCACATTACTAATCAAATGTTAACCAAGTCTATTAATCAACTATATATAAGATGTTTATGTTATCGGCGAATCTAAACCATCGATCAAGTTGATTCATGACAATCAAGTTGATTCTTGCATGAATGTGTTGTCCAGATTACTTCAGATTTGATGCCAAAACAAGCCAACCAACACTAAATAGAATACTGCCTCACTTAATGGCCAAGAGAACATGGAAAAAGAAATGGAAGCTTTGGATTTAACAATTTGAGGTTACAGTTGAAATTGTAAGACTTCACACTTTTTTGGAACTAGTTATTGGCATTCAGAATTAGTATACAGGGGAAGCTCATACTCAATTCATCATTGATGAAAACCAATGCTGAGAAGAGGTTGTATATTACTCATCCTTTTCAGGATAGAGGAGCTAGGAGCTGACAACAAGAGGGCTGACAAATTTGTCAACGCAACTTTCTAGTTTCCTTATGGCATGTTCTCGACAGAGCCACCAGGAACGACAACTGTAGCAGTGCCGCTTGTGATTACAGCACTACCTGGAGGAAAATTAGAATTCCCTGAACTAATAACAGTGCTGACTTCAGATCTTTTCAATTCTGGAGTCGTAGATTGGGTAGCTAAAGAAGCATTAGCGTGCAAAACTGGGGGCGCCGATGCTGCATCTGTATTCTGCTGCTTTTGCATCATTTCAGCAGAAGTAACAGACCCCATAAAATGATCCGTACTTTTCTGCTCTGCTGATGCCGCCTCATTCACAGCATGAAGTTGTTGCAACCTGTAATCTGTTTCAGGACGACGGCAGACCTTCCTTAGTGGAACAATTTCCTGTCGAAAAGCATGTTAAGAACAAAAGGTTACGAAAATCACAACCTGAATTTGTAGATTCACTAATTGAAGATATAAATTTAAAAGGTACTATTTAAACATGTGGGCAGTTTTATACCTCGGATTGATCATGAACATAGCGCACCAAAAACCTACAACGACATCCTCTTACATCATGTCTTCGTCTTTGAGCATCAAGGACATGGGCATCAAAGTACAAAGCCTGCTCTTTACCTTCCTGAAAAATTTAAATCCGTTAGATTTCCATGAAGATCTGATCAGAAATAACTTATCTTAATCATTGATCCAATATATCTCTTTGAAGGACATAGAAACAAATGAACACCACCTGAAAACATAGTATGAGATCCCCTGGGAGAACTGCAACACACTCTGATGATTCACATGGCAGGGAGCGCTGCCTGACATGCTTCCGTACATTGACCCATTCATCCTCCTCTGGTCCAAACCCAGCAAACCGAACCAGTACTTCCTGAAACACCCAGCAAGATTCAATCTGGGGATTTGTTATAATGACCAATTTTATCTTTCATTTACAACAAATGACTTAAGTTTAGTTGGGATTCAAGGCTGAGGCAGTTGAGTTGAATCAAACATTTAAGGAGAAGAATACTAAGATAATAGACATGCAGAACAAATGAGAAAGAATAGGAAAAAAGAGGAAAAATAACAACAAAGAAAGACCTATAATGAATTCCTTTTAACAACTTAATGCTGTACATGCAAGAAAACTGATATTAGAAAATTACCGGATCACCAGTCTCCAAGTATCTATGAGATAAAAAGTTAGCAACATCATACCTGAGCACAGCAGACAATGAAATTAGACGAATAATGATAACTCACTTATGAGTCCAATTATTAAAAACGTGAGAATTCATTTTTGACAAAAAGAATAATTTATTATTTATTAATTGGAAGGGTAAAGAAACATCAACATGACAGAAACTAGAATTCATAGAAAGAAAGAGAAGAGTTACTGACCATGCACCATCCCTCCCAGATTTAGCTTCAAACTCAAAAATAGAATTTTCAGAAGCACCCTTTCCGGAACCTTGAGCTGGTTAATAAATGAAAACAAGGGCAAAAGTATTGAAAGTCTGATGAACATACATAAGAGGATGGGATTATTAACACCTATTCACAAGTCAAGCATATGTTTATATGGAAAAGAGACTAGCACTGCCAAAAAATACCTAAAATAAGAGTCCTCCATTACAAAAGCCCTCCTTAACAACTCAAGCATGTACATAAATGCACTCAACAGAATTGGTATGTCAAGGTAAATAATTAGAGTAAGTTATAAATAGAGCATGCCACATACACAAAAACCAAGAGATGACTATATTAGGCTAAACAGGAAAACACTCTAGAATATTAAACTTCGATGACGTAAACTGACCAAAAAACTAGCTGCCCATGAAGCCAAAAATATAAGGTCACATATTGATGATTGAAGAAACAATTCAAGTAGACAACATCAATATAGGCTACTCAACATAAGTTCAAACAAGTAAAATGAGTATATAATGCCACCAGATGAGTAAGCCTAAAACTAAGGAAAATGAGAAATAAAGGATATTAAACTAAATATAGAGCAAGTTCCATTCTACCTGAAGGAGCATGTATAGGAGCAGCTATAGGTTGAGGGCCTTGAGGAACATTTCTCACTGGATTTGAATCATCCCGAGACATAGGTGACACATTTAACTTCCCAAGAACCTTACTTGATTTTGCCCTAATAGCATATCGCCTATTTTGGAACCAATTCCAAACCTATAACCAAAAGAAATTTGTTAAAACCAATTCCAAACCTATAAATATAATGAAGATTATAAGTTACAAACAGAATTAAATGGCTTCCCAAATCAATTTCAAACCTATAATGCACATTAAAAATTACAAACAGACTTAAACAATATTTCCTTACAAAAAATTACAATGGAAAATTTTCATACTTGCTTCATTTGTACTGCAATCTTGCCCTTCCGCTCTGCCGATTCACTACACCAAAGACAAGTATCTCGGATTTAATGCTTATAAGAAGAACATAATCTTTTCAAATTCTAAGTGTTTAGAACTAATGCACACCTGAACTTATCCGCAAGGGCCACAAGAACTTCACGTGCTGGCATTGTGTTATTGTGCTGTTGCAGAATAGCTTCCATCTCCGAAACCTAATAATGTACCAATTTACAGACGGTGTCATTAAGGTTCAAAATATAAAATACCTTGAAGAAAAACTAATCAGCACTCACAAATCAACAATCATCTACAGATATGTATATGTGTACGTATATGGAATATAGATATGTATTATAAGTATATGGCTGAAGATTTTCTTCATAGGAATTCTCTATTGCTTATGAATCATTACTTCTCTATTTACACAGCATATGTTAAATGGTTAGTAAATTTAGGTTTTAGCCAAACAAAAATTTTCACTTTCGGAAAAAGCCAAAGCTTTTTCAAAAAAGACAGAAAAACCTCTCAACTTTCAAATCAAAGACATGCAAATGTAAATGATTCCTTAGGAAATCCAAAAATAAATAAGGGCAATTTTGTCCATTTTGGCTTCTTTTACAAAATTTCTCTCTCCTTCGTGTTTTTCCAAAGTCTCCCGTGGTTATTTTAACACTCATTTCAGCAACCCAATTTGCTCCCCCCAACTCTTTTTGTTTACATGTATTTGTTATACATATGAAGTGGGCCATCTATATGATTCAAGTTTCATCTCCACATATTAGTGCAAAAGTGCTTGCTGGTTACTGATTCAGTATTAAAGGAATGCTCTCTATTGGCCCCAAACGAAAACAAAAAAAAGGAATGATCCTTAAGACTTTAACCGCATTATTGATTCACATACTGATATAATCATTGAATTGAAGTGTGTCTCTTGTTCTTATATATTATATATATATGAGTATTTATAAAATAAATACCGTACCAAATTAAAATGTTACACAAATTGCTACCCAAAAAACCGTACAAACTATACCTACCCCTTCATGCCCCGTACCATAGAAACCAGCATACCCTGTACCCAAACCCATTCCGCGTACCCTCTCATTCCCCGTACTAGGTAACCATGCAATGAACTAATATGGAGCTCTTATTGGGGTAATAATTCACAACTAATTACGCCTATACAACCCAAAAACCCAAAATGGACACGAGGTAGGCAATAAGCTTATGAAATATATATGAAGATAACATATAATGTAGAAACAAGGTATTCAGTTTCCATTCTGTCCTTCATGTTAAACAGTAATAAAGTTGTTAAAGAGGCATTATTTCGGAAGCTATGCCTATTCCATTTTAAGAATTTCTGGATAGTATTTAAAATGCCTTCCTGACTAGGGGAACTCTCATAGAACAAACCCGCGAAATTGAACTACAAACCATTACTTACATAACAGACTAGCAAGGACCATCGATATGATTTAAAGAAAGATTGGGAAGGGGAACCACAAAACCTAAGCTAGCGATATCAGGTAAGCTATTATATTTTAAGAAGAAAAAAAAATTACATGGTATTGTAAGAAGTAAAAAATCATCCAAAAAAAAAACTGCAATAACATCAGGAACAATATCAATAGGACTCAAGCACAAATCAAAGAATTGAAAAAACGCTGAAAATCAAGCAAACAAAACCCACAATCTAACTGACCCATTCAAGAATCATCACTCTTAGTTCGAAATTTGGCACTTCTACTAGCGAATTCAAAATTTACAAAAACAACTTTCAGAAAATTCAAATCTAATTCAAAATTTAGCAGACATGCAAACATAGAATATAAAAAATATGAAAACCCTTCAATAACTTCAACTCTAATGTCGAAATGTAGCAGGTTCCCAAATACATATAATTAGTTAACAAATCGTCAAAGAAAAACAAAATAGAAGAGTAAGAAGAAGAACACAAGGTACCTCAGACTGCGTGAAGCGGAAGGCAGGGCCTCCGTTACTCGGAGGCCTACCCATGGCTGCTCTCTGTCTTTGTCTGAGACTCAGAAGCAAAAGATAACTTTTTTCCCTTTTTTGCTTGGAATAAGCAAAAAGGAATGAGAGACGAAGACAGGAGTTGGGTTTTTGGCAAAGTACGTATTGCGAGTGTCAGGCACAGACAATTTTACTCGGAAAATCTGGAAAAGGAAAAAAACAAACAAAAAATTCGGTTGAGATTTATAGAGACGAGAGAGAGAGAGAGAGAGCGAGAGATGGTGGATGTTTGATTTGGTTTGGGTTTGAATCTGAAGGTTTTGAAGCCCAAAAAAGCAAAATTGGGGGCAAGCCCTGGAAAAGTGTTACTCTCCAGTCTTGTCCACTAACGACCTGTCGCCCCAATGTCTCTTTTCAAGTTTTTTTGTTTTTTTATTTTTTTATTTTTAGATATCTTTCTATTTAAAATAGCAATAGTTGTTGGTTTTTCTATTCTTTTTTTAATTAATTAAAAAATAAGTAAGCGTAGAGTACTTATCCTGGCACTTATGGCAACAATTTGATCCTTCTACCTTTGAGAAGAAAAAATAAGTTAAAGAAAGACATTCTGAAGGAGTATACAAGTCATTATGCACTTTTTTATTTGCGTTTTTAAAAAGTCACCATGCACCCTTTTCATTTGCGCTCTAAAAAAATCGTCATGTTTTCTTTTAACATTCCAAAAAAGTCATTATGCACTTTTTTTTATATTAATTCCGTAAATAAGAGAATGACTCGTAAGGAGTACATTATAGCTTTTTGAGAATGGGATTAACAATTCTTGTATAAATGTCAAAAGGAAAGTGTTATTTCAAATTCATATGTGGATTTTATTAATATAGAAAATATTTGAAAATAATTTCCAATTCAGCGATTTATGCCCAAAAATAAAAATTTTAGTTCTTCAATCCAAATGGTATTCCTAACTTTCACATTCTTGGGTCCAACTTGTTTTCTATTTTTGATAAAATTAGGTTTGATATGTTTGAACTTTGATATTTCAAGATGACACGCGTTTGTCCATTGGGTTTTTTAAAATAATTTATTTTAAAATTTTTTTTGGCTAAAACCTAAATTTACTTTTTTTTATATTACACACAGTTATGGCACTGACGGCACAACCTCACATTGTAAGGGTTGGATTATAGCTAAATCTAACTCATAACAAGCATCGTTGGCCTTTGTCTTCTCAGATCAAAAAATTGGTCGACAATAGAATTTTCCTTATTAAGAAAACTTTACTGCCACATGTTTGATGTAAATTTTCGGTGACAAACTGTTGGGTTGTTTTAAATGTTAGTTCACTGACAAAAAACTTATATTCTATTTACAAGGTAGCGGGCATACTATCTTGGTGGAGAATTCAAATTCAGTGCGAGGGAGCAGAGACAACCCTGGTGGGGAACTCGATTCAGGGCAACTAGCAGACACAACCCGTACCAGGTCTAACCTCGGCCTTAATTCGTCATATGTTCGAAAACCAACATCATTATATGATAAGTGGGTATCTTGTTTAAACATGTACCCAATGCTCGATAATAAATGGTTGCAAACTTGATGCCAGGCCGTTGAACTGGTTGGATTATTCAAGCGAAATTGATTAATAGTTGAGAATTTGTCAACATAGACTTAAACCGAGCTCCTCCTCACGTATTCAACTGAGTAGAGACATCGAATTGGTCAAAATCTTCACAACCATTTCCATCTAAACGCAATCATCCACATCAATCTATATGGCAAGAGCATAAAAACTAGTTGAAAGAACAACCACCAATAGGTAAATTATACAGCAAGCCTATTCTCATAGCTTCGGACATTCGGAGTATGTTAGAATACATATATATCTATATATATACCAACTTATAAAACAAACTGAAAAATGTACATACATAGGTTCAAAACTCTACTATGTTACAGCCACCATACGAATAAAGCCCGATAATACTTTATTGGATTCAAGGGCACAGAACTTTCCAGCCCTCTCTTTCCTTTACAACAACAAGACTGAACGAAACATCCCCTATCTTCTTTCCTAAGCACCATCATCATCAACAGTGTTGACCCGCTCACATTCGTCTATCCATTCACTGTATCTGTAGTGAAAAAATTTATGGTCATACAAAAGAGTAAAGGAAAAGAGAACAAACTTAATATGAAACTAACTATTAACAAATTCACTAGACAAAAGGATATGAACTACTTACACATCAATCGGTTCAGTCAAAGCTGCAAAACAAACAAAAGAAAGATCAACAATTATCACACACATGGAAATGGCAGTCACTATACGGAGAACAAGAAGCATCTAAACAGAATAATCATCCAAAACCAAAATTGCCACATTTACCTACAACCTAGGGTAATTCTCCATCCAGTTTTCCAGTGCAAGGTTGATAGATATTCAATTATGATTCTACTCAGGTTATCCACAAAACTGCCAACACCATCCTTGTTTTGTCCACATACCATAACAATTCAAAACTCTGTTCGGAAACATATTTTCATTTTGAATTATTCACTTAAATCTCCCTACATTTCATATGCATTATTAACTGTTACATCGAAGTTGGTGACTGCGAAAAGCAACATGTTCATTTTCACCCGACAAAAAACCTAATTACCGTAAAACCAACAGCAAAACTCAAATCCTCACAAAAAGAAATTATTGGTGTTGTAGTTTTCACTAATCTTCATGTGTGCTTCTGGTTATATAATTCTCAATCAATCCTGTTACACTCCCAACATTGGACCTCACAAGTATCCAGAAACAACACAATCTCAGAAATGCTGTACATTAAAAATAGTAACTTAAGACCACAATAAAGTATTTGGCATACCTGTGATGGTTGTGCTGAAATTCTCTTGGCAAATGCTACAGACAGCCTCTCCAATCAAGTTCTTCATGTCACTGAAACCAAATAACTTATTCACTTTCAATTCAAAACCAAATGAGAAACAAGTACATATGCAAGTAAGCTAAACCCAGCCAGATTCTATTTCATATATGAAACAAAGAAATGGAAATGAACATGTGACAATTACCACACATCTCTACCATAGTTGACCAAAAACACATTCCTTGACAGCACCATTGAACATATAGAGCTCAAATAAACTCGACACATTCCTAAGAAGATAAAATACATAAAAAGTTGGGAGAAAATAGATTAAACGAAAAACTTACATTCGGCATTCAACGCTGCTCCCATGGTTGCAAAAGGGGCAACAGAAAACAGTATCAAGCTTGTCCATTCGCTTCTTAGCTGCAGGCTTTGCCTTGGACTTTCTCTTGCCCATGTTTCAACAAATTTCTGTCCTGTTATCATTATTTCAACCAATTAGTTCTCGTTTTAGGATATTAAACAAAACATGCAGCCACCATATCACCTGGGCTTCCCACATACATACATAGATGGTGCAATGCCTGCTATCATTTTAAAGTATACGCTTTAATTAACAGTTATATAAACCCTCTGTGCGTGTACTTTCAATTAATTGATATCGCCGTGATGTGAAATTTAGAATGCATTTTACAAATACAAGGAGAATATGGGGTTTGGGGAAATATTAAGCCCAACAAATCAATTGAGGGTTGTGAAAACATGTGTTTATATACATAACATAATCACAAAAAACCTTCAGAATTGAAATAAAATTGTTTCTGCTGTTAATTAGAACTCGGAAAAACTTTTGCACCAGAAAACATACTGCTGAAATACCAAAACCAAAAAAAAAAAAAAAAAAAAAAAAAAAAAATAGGGTTGGGAAACCCTAGAAAATTTACAGTCAAAAGAAACGAAATTGAAGTTTAAGAAGGCGAAATTAAGAAAGCGATGAAGAAACCCTGGATTCTGAGGAGGAAACTGAGAATTATGTTATAGTTGAATGAGAGAAACCCTAAGACCACGAACCCTTAAAAGGAGATTGGGGAAAAGAGAAAGACCGTACCTTAGTGAGACAACGCACTTCCGAATCGAATGATTGCTTGCTTTAGAAATGCTAAATTTCTGCGGGAGAAAATACTAAATAGGGCGGGTCTCTATTTATAGGCATCCGCTTGCGGCTTGCCCACGTAATCAAGGGCCAAAAAATAAATATCGGCTTCTCTGAGGGCATAAGGCTCAAGAAATGTTAATGCTACTCTAGCAAAAAAAGAAAAAGAAAAGGGGGATCTGTGTAATTGTATTAAAGAACTTTACATTTATTGTACTTCCTTGGGTTGTTTTTATTATTCTCCATTGTTGATTATTAATTACTTAAATCAGTAATACAATTCCATTCTTAATTACAAAATGGTTAAATACATTTTTGGTCACTGAGAAAAATCTCAATTTGTACTGTTACTATAACAAAAAAAACTAAATTTAGGTCTTTATATAAATTAATGCTAAATTTATATTCATGGATATTCTATGAAACATGGTTACTGAAGTACTTCCCCTAAGAAGCGGAAACGTACAATACACGTACATATGTATTTTTCTATGTTTAATATATATGTTTTTTACAAAAATTTTAATAATACACACATAATTTTCATATATTATTGAATAAAAATAATACATATTAAAAAAAATTAAATGAAAGTGAAGGGTGGTTAGGAGGTGTGATCTACTGTGAGGTTTTTGTATTTAATTATTATTTTTAAATGGTATAGCCAGGCGGCTATACTGCGAGGGTTTTAAAATTATTTTCAATAAATAGTATAGCCATCCGGCTATACTCGTAACAAAAATAAAAAATAGCTGCCTATACGCTGGGCGTCTTTTTTTAAATAATAAAAATTGTAAATATAATATATATGTGTATATATAAACCTTATAGCCGATGTGTTACCTTTTCAATTTTTTAAAATCGTATAGCCGCGGGGCTATACGTGTAAAAAACAATAAAAAATTGGCCACCAATGCGCTATGCGGCTTTTTTAAAATAATAAATAGTATAGCCATTCGGCTATACTAGGTTACCTTTTTTTATTATTTTTAATCAATAGTATCGCCGCTCGGCTACACTACGAGGTTTTTTAATTATTTTCGATAAATAGTATGGCCGCGCGGCGATATGGGAAAAAAAAAAGAAGTATAGCCGCACGGCTATATTCGGGTCCCCTTTTTAAATTTTTTTAATGAATGGTATAGCCGCGGCTAGACTGCGGTGCTTTATTTTAATTTTTTTAATAAATTGTATAGCCGAACGGCTGTACGGGTGTCATGTTTTTATTTTTGTATAACTAATAGTACAGTTGCGCAGCTATACCTCGGTTCTTCATTTTAATAATTTTTCATAAATAGTATAGCCGCGGGGCTCTACGGGGGTCCTTTCTTTTAAATAAAAAAAAAAAAAAAAAAAAAAAAAAAAAATAAAAAAAAAAATTTTCCCTGTTTTTCAATAAAGAGTAATTTAGAGCATTATCCATTACTATTAAGCCATTACCTGAATTTCTATTGTCCTTTTTTGAATTTTTACTTTTTTCAAAGTTATTAACCATATAAAGAATTTAGCATTTTACGATTTGATACTCGTATTATATATGTACGTTTGTATTTTTCAATATTTCTATTTTCCATACACGTCTTTAAGATTGGTAAAATACACATTTTTTTAAAAAGCAAAACAAGAACTGAACCACGAGTCTATCAAAGCAGGCATTTTCAAAGACATGAAAATTTAGGTTCGAGGGACAAAATTGTGCGTACAAGCAAACATTTTACAAGACGTGAAAACTTCCTCCATGGAGAGAATAATTTCCTGTCTTCACGAACCTTTTCACCGAAGGATTAAATATAAAGAATAATTCAGCTGGCACCAGTGAAAATTTCCTCCATGGAGAAAGAATGGCGGTGAGTCTAAATTTTTTTATCAATTCAAGACATCATGAGATTATCTGTAGCTCTGTTTGGTGAAAGAAATTGTTATTGTCTGGTATACCGTTCTTTTTGTTCTTCCTTTTGGCTACATGGGATCTGTTCCTTGTGAATTGAACTTAGCTTCCGAAACTGTAAACAGGAAGTCAAAACTAGGATGCTGTTCTTGACCCAAAAAAAAACTAGGATGCTGTTTCTGCAAGGTCAGTTTTCAAATCATCTCCCTCCTTCCGCTTCTTTTTAGGCTTTCGTTTCTTCTGTTTCTGCTTGAGTTTAATTTGATCTTTAACTCTCTTTTCCCATGCTTTTTTGTTTTTCTGATAAAGAACCATTGCAGCGCGAGCATCTTCTACCTGAAACAACGTCATGAGTTAAACAAAGGCATCCAACAGATTTTGTTGACAAGAAGCGGACATGATTAACAATATGCAGCAACATTCAAGACATAAAGCAATATAATTATAAACAAAAACTACTCCCAACACAACATCCAAACAGGTAATAATATGAGTTTCTCAACGAAGTAAACTAAATATAATAATTGTATAACAGGGCAATGAATTAAAACTTCTTCAAGGCATTGCATTCACCAACTTTGCAGGCAAATCAAGTTTCATTTGAGAAGAAAATATCTGCCTCCATTCGAACTTTTTATAGGTGTTTGGAATAAGAAGAAAATAAAGGAGAAGGTGTGAAGAGAAAGAAGGCTGAACAAAATAGATGGTCTGTCTATTTTCAGGTTCTGAGTGATACAGCAGAGTCCCAAGGCGATTTTGTTACTTATTTTTTATATCTGCTTTTATCTCAAATACAAAATACAGCTAAGAGAGACTTTTAGACTTTCTAGGGCACATAGACAAAAGCATGAAGTCTTAGACTTCTAAGACTTCCCAGACTCTTCATGAACCTTCTAGCACTTAGCACATTAACATGCGACAATAGGAAAATGCTACTTATCCCACCCTTTCTTTCCCAACTTACATGCCGCATGATAGGGACCACATCATTGCATTAAAAGAAGAACAATGTGGCAAACCCAATTTCAGCATATCATCTAAGTTGGAAAGAAAATGTTGGGATAAAAAGTTGGGTTGTATAGCATTTGTCCTTTTTGATGAGCCTTGTCGCATTTCAGTGGAGTTTGTGAAATCATATCCTAATGCTAAATGTTGTAGAAGTTGTAAACAACGTGCAACACGAATACAATTTTCCGTTCAAACTGCACTAAGAAAAAGAATCAGAATACTAACTGGGCAGTGCTCCCCATTTTGGATCTGAACATCAAGAAACTCAGCTGCAAGATGCCGAAGTGCCCTTCTGGACCCTTTCCCCCTGCTTCACCAACCACACATATCATGAGGACAAATCATGATACTTGAAGACTCTCAGCAAATTTTAATTACTGAATAATTCTTAAAGAACGAAAAAATTACCTCATAAAAGGTTCATACTCCAATGTATCCCTCAAGTCCTCCTTGGGATGACTTAAAAGCAATGCCTGTTTCAGTCAAATTGTTAGATTAAAGATTCACATCTATACTCTACACAACCATATTAAAAGGCCAGATACCTTAAGATCATTGCGCAATGCATGGCCCACAAGAATTCGTCCTTTAATCAACTCTGCCACTCTTTTCTGAACAATCCGAAAATCCTTTGCTGCAGATAACAAAGATGCATGAGGCATTCTATCACTGTCAGCATAATTTCGCATACATTGGTCTTGTAACTCTAGTTATAATAAATACATATTGATAAATTGTTCATTTAAAAAAACAAGATGTTGCAAATGGAGTGTAAGGATGATGAAAATGATAGGATGAAGTGGTAACTGATAGGTGGTATGTGGTAAGAGGAAAGATAGTTTACAGAACTGAGATGGGCACTAAAGAGGGGCAATATTATTTAAGACATAGACACCAAGTGAGAAAGAAAATACATAATTGGCAAAAAAAAAAATCAGTAGCTCATCTGGAGAAGAAATTGATGTTAGTTGTAGTAGTTTGCACATATAATATTAAAAAAATTGATTTTGCACATAAAGCACAGCCTTATCTATTGACCAATGGAAGTCACTTATGGAGCTAACATAACATAGCCATTTAAGAAGCCACCAATTTAGTAGCAGTTCATTCTAACATTTTTATCTTCTTTTATTTTCTGAACAAGAATTTCATATAGAAGTTCTAGTGAAGCATACCTACATTTAATATATTTAGAAAAGCAGCAGAAATAAAAATAAAGTCAACCTTTTCTCAAGTCCTGGGGACGAATGCCACTTATTTGAGTGCGAAAATCAACAACATGTTCTAGTGGGCGAACAAACTCATCATATATAACATTACCCCATCTATTTACCTGCCAAAAAACTGTACCATCAGCAATCACTGATCCTAACAAGTTAAAGTACCAAGTGTAAGATGATATCTACCTAAACACATTAACTCACAAATCAACTAAGGAAATAACAGATACAAAACTGTTTGCCAAAAATGCAAATCTTAAAGATCCAACCTGTCCAACTACAATATGACAGAAGAGTAAGAGATGAAAGAAAAGGAACTAAGGACTACCAGTGTAACACGTCCAAGGGCACTTTTGTTTCCTTGACTGACACCAACCATTTCACAATCCATGGCTACTTCATCTGTCACACTGTCAAATGGTTTATAAGTTAGGTGATATGACCAATTGAAGCTGTTAAGGGGGAAAGTTACTTACACAACATCTTACACATAGAAAAATGCTTAGAAGATGTGCACTTAAACAATTTTGTTACCAATAAACAAATGTTCACAAAAATGGAGTTCATTACATGTTACCATGATATTGATTGATACCAAAACTAGAAAGCATAACTTTCAGGGTCTTTCTGGACGTTTTATGAAGATTTTCTTGTAGCAAATTAAACGGGGCGAGTGGGAAGACAAATTCTAATAATCATGATTCACACACATATCATGGTCAAGCATTACTCTAATGGATACAATTGCATTACTGAATTCTCAAGTTTAAGTGCCTAACTACCAAAAATTCTTGTAAACTTGGTCTCCATTAATCTGAAGCCATCAGGGTTTCCCAACACCTAAGTCATGAGATAGAACAATTTGAAACAATTAATCTCTTTTCTTCCTACCCTTTATTTTTTCTCGTAGTCTAGTTCCCATAGCCAAAGAGAAGAGCAATTCACCTCAACTAAACCAATAGGCTCAAAAGTCTTACAATCCACATTTAAACAAAACCCATATGACCAAACAAAAAAGAAAAAGAAGCTGAAATTTCTTTTCTTTTCTTTTCCTGCATTCCCTCATCAACCCAACGGAGCAACAAACAACAATATCTCCCAAAAAATCACCTGCAATCATCATTAACAGGAGTGAGAGGATTGACATGAGATAGAGAATCATCCAACTCTGCATCCGTTCTCTCTTTCCGCTTCCCTGTCAATAAAAATCTCAATAAAAACCTTTGCTTTATGCTCTTTTAAACTCAAACCCAACAAAAAGAAAGGTGCTTTCACCTATATAAATTCTAAGCAAGCCAAGTAGTGGCTGAAGCAAAACAAAGATGTATGTGCTGTTTACCTAAGACAGTTGCTGGGGTTTCTGTTGCTGGAGGTTTAGGGCCATGGCTCTTCAGCTTTTGTTGGAGTTGAGCCCAGTTGGGGTTTATCTGCAACTGCTTATTAGGGTTCTTCTTCATCTTCTTTCTTCTTCTGCCGGAAACACAAATGCGATAAAAGAGTATATTCACTGTGCTAAGGTGTCACGACTCACGGGGGCGTCCGATTGTGCACGTCTGAACGACGCCCATTAAAACGACGACATCCCGTTTTTGTTGTCTTCTTTCTTTGTCTAATATCTTTCTATAGCATGAGTGGAGTGAAAATACCCTTTTTCCTTTCTTTTTTTTTTATTTCTAATAGCCTTTTTGTTCTTTTTCATAAATATTATTTAATGACGCAACTTAATAAACAAAATTAATGTTAAATTTCGATAAATCAAATTATTATAAATTAAATGGAATTTAGTTATTTAGTTAGAATATGAGGTTGTTTTTCATTTTATTTCATGGATGTAATTAGATTCAAACCCCTTTTTTATCTTCATCACACTAAAAGAGACCATACTTTTATCATAATCTTTTAACTCATTTCTCTACTAGCCCTTACCACTTCATTAATAAGCTAACTGAATGATTAACAACGAACTTTAGAAATCCTCATCCCAGTTAACTGTTTTTTTTTTATACAACCAATATAGGGAGGGTGAATCGAACCTAAGAACCTCAAGTGCAAGGATAAATACTATTACTCACTACAAGCCCCTTATCACCCTAGTTAACCATATCCAAAGTTTGTTGCTTTTAAGTCTATCTCAACTTCATCATTATGTAAAAAGCTTATAATTTAAGTAGTTAAGAATATTTACTCATGCTATCGATATTCTACGTTGATTTCTCTCTTTTCAATATGGTTTGTATTTAATATATATATATATATATAATTCCGACTTAAAAAATTCCTTCTAAAGGTAGTATCTGGTTCTCTAACCAATTGGACAAGAGAAAAGTAGAGATTTCATATCCATATATTCCTCTATTTTATGATATTCTTGACAATGATATGTACTTTGACTCACACCACCCACCTGCCATAAAAATGATTATTATGCTTTTGGGGAACAATATTTAGTTTTTCTTTCTTTCTTCTTTTAGAACAACAAAATGTAGTTTTATAAGAATAATAAGAAATGGAATAAATTTCTTTCATGTTAAAATTAAAACAATTGATCGGGTTATTTCAAAGAGAAATAAATAAAATAAATCAATCATACAGTCCTACTCCCATGCTCGATTTGACAAAAAAATATGAATGTTGTTAAACGAACCCTAAAATTAACTGAGTACTCAAAAATATATACAATGCAATGTGAAATACAGCAAGTTTGAGAAAGTTATTGGAGCTATTGCCACTTCGTTGACACTTTGGGCAGTTGTGTAGTTGCATTAGAAGGATTTTAGGGAAAAATGGGATGCTGAATAAATTTGTTTATTTATCAATCTATCTTCTGAAAATTCTTCTTAGAAGCTTCACTCCATCAAATATCTGGTTAGTTGTTAGATAATTTATCATAATCATAACTCATTTTCTAAAGCAGTGTTCTCACTTAAACCTAACTCAAATAGGTGGCATAATCTCTAGTCTTGCTATTATGATATTGAAGTTTTAGAATATGAGGCGTGATGAAAAATGTTTCATTTTTTTAGTATAAATGATGGCCTAAAATAGAGGGGAGAATGATTTTGCATACAGACACAAATGATGGCATGGAGGTTCGAACATGAGACCTCTAATTAGTAAATAAATGCCATTTTTTCCACTGAATTAGACCTTTTGACATGAAAAATGTTTCATATGTTAGGTACTTTCGGCCAAAAATGTTATATACTTTGGCATGTGATTTAATTTTATTAAATATATGGTTTAAAGTAAGAGCCTAATTATGGACTAGAGCGTCTGGATGAGATGGACCAGGAGGCTTAAATAGACAGAAACTGAAAAATACCTGGTACACTCTCACACACAGTAGGTTTGAAGTGCAAGAGGCAAAGCCAAAAGCAGCACCAGCTGCAGCAACTATATATACTCAGACAAAGCCTTTCTAATCCCTAGCTTTCTTCTTCTTTCTCTCTGTCTCGTCTTGAAACTTCAATCGAAAATGGGAAGAGGAAAGTTCAAGGGCAAGCCCACCGGTCACCGCCACTTCTCCACCCACGAAGAGATGGGTAATATCTCTCTATCTATTTCTCTCTATTTGTCAAATCTGGTTCAAATTTATATATGTATATATATGTATATGTATATGTGTATGTATGTATGCATGCGTTGCGCAGGGTCTCAGTTGTTTGCGCTTATTTAGATCTAGATAAGTTTGTGCAAGTTTTAGGCATTTCTGGTTTTGAAATTTTAGCTGTCAATCTGAAAGCTCGTAAATTTTTCAACAAATTTTGTTCTTTGAAAAATATTTCATTGACGTTGCGTTGGCATGTTGGTTCTGTTCGTATTGATTCACCTTAAGTTTGGACCAGTAAATTGGATGACCTCTGTAAGAACACAAAAAGGAAAACTTGTTAAAAACGGTTGATTCTATTGGATTGAAATTTGGACTGTATCTATTGGGTATAGAATTCAATTTAACTAAGCTTTAATTCCTAATAGGGTGTACGTGAGTCCCTTTTGATCCCTTATGCTGTGAAAACATTCTCAGTCAATTAAATTTGCATTTCATCACTACTTTTGCTGCAAAAGACCATGATGTTCGTGTGGATGATTTGAAATTTACTCTGTATTAAGGAGCATATTAAGTGTAATTGTTGATTGTAGGTTTCATTATATGTCAGGCTAGGAAAGAATATATCCCTCCACTCCTTGATTTTTACATCATGGTTTCTTGGGATGGCTTTATTGGTTAATATGATAATAAATTTAAGGTTGTTGTCTATGATACTTGAGTAGTTATTGACGGGTTTATCAGTTGTATTCTATATTACTGTCTGAAGTTAACAATTTGTGATCTTGTATATTTGGGTGATGGTTAAATAACATTGCTTTTGCTTAAATGTCAGACAGTTTTCTTATTTTCAAATGCTATTGATAATTGGTAAACTTGTTTCAAATGCTTTTGTACTTTCATCTGCTATTAGCTGACTTTATTTTCCTTTGTGTCTATACTTCAAATGGTTGCAGTTGCTGGTACCTCTGCTCGTCCACGTAGTTTTAAAAGGGTAATAATTTGTCCTTTGTTCCTCAGTATTACACTTTTCTCATATATTTTAATTGAAGACACTGCACTTTCCATGATGCAGTAATGATTGTCAACTATAGAGGTGATGGTTTCGATAGGATTTTCTTGTAGTATTTTGTTTGAAAATACACACACACAGACGCATTCAATGGGTACATGATGTTGGCATGTTGAACTAATGCATTGGATACATCCATATTGGTGTAATCATGTTTCAAATTCTTCATTGTATCAACAAGAAATGATCTTAGCAGAAGTTGCAGAACCAAGATGTTCTGTAACCAAAACTTTCTGGCTAATAGGAATCATATGAAGCATGGCCGAACCACAATGCATCTGTCTTGGATGACTAAGCATTACATGATTTGGAGGGTTACTACGTGAAACAAAGGTTTGTTTTCCCTGTAGAGCATGTCTTCTTTAGGAAGTTTATGGACATGCTGCAGTACTCCAGGGAGTAGCTTTTGCCTTCCATGAAAAACCCAGACTCAACCCATCTGCCCAAACCTCATAATAAAAATGTTCCTAATATGAATCTCTTGTATGTAAAACAAGAATTCCTAATATGAATTGCTTAAAGAGTAGCTTATGTGTTATAGTTTTCCTACTTTTCATGTCGAGCTCCCAACAGTCAACGGGCTCTCTTGATTTGCTTCTATTGTAGGCTAGCATTGGGGAGTAGGACTTTTGATCCACTGAAACACACACATTAATTCCTCAAGAATGATATGATAGGCCGTGAATGTAGGAAACTATTAAAGAGCATAAAGTTTTCAAGTATGAGATAGTATTTTGAAAGAAGAAAATCAATATAATCATTGTTGGATATTGTCTGAAATAATGTGATTATTGAAGGCAGAAAATTACTCTATTGTCATCGACATCATCTTTTTTAATGTATGAGGAGACTATATGGTGGTTTTTGTTGATTTTATCCCCCTCTGTTGCTATGAATTTAAGTTTTTGGTGGTACTTCTGTATATAAAATTCATATTTATTTAATATTATCAGGAAGAAGCTGAAGAGGAGGAAGAAGTAGAGTCTGAAGAGGAATCATCAGAAGAAGAAGAATCTGAAGTCAGTATACTCATTGGTGCTTTATTGCTATTCCATTATTCATCTGGTAGCATTTGCATTTCTTATGACTCCAACTTACTGAAATTGTGGCCATATGTTAACAGAAGCGGAAAGGCACTCAGGGAATCATTGAAATTGAGAATCCCAATCTAGTAAAACCAAAGAATGTGAAGGCTAAAAATGTCGATGTAAGCTCGTGACCATATTTTTTTATTTACTTGCAGTAATAACTCATTAATCATAATTGTTTGGTGTTATTCTTTTTGTAGATTGAGAAAACTTCTGAGCTCTCAAGGCGTGAAAGGTATGCATTGCTCCTCGCCTCTTGTGCATTCAATATCTGGGGGCCAAGTTCTGTAGCAAGTATTCTATGAAACAAAATATGCTTCCTCATTAATGATGCTTGTATCTTATTTTTCTTTTGTTTTTCCAGAAATATGTTATTATTCTCTAAAATCAAAACTGTCCGATTGAGTATCAGGCTTTAATAGTAGCATCTGGTTCTATCTATAAGCACCAGAAGGTCGTACATACTATAGGATGACCCTTTTTGGTTCCTGGCAGTTCCTTGTTTTAATTTACATATCATACCACAGACTATTTTCACTGCCCCTTTGGTTTTGGTTTTGGTTTTCATTTGTTGGAATGTTATGCTTGAGGAGAGACTGAAAAATAAGTGAAACTATTGGTGGTATGGGTGGTGGAGTTGGCTGTGAATTGCTATAAGATTTGGCTATGTTTAGCTTCTGAAATTGGTCTAAGTTCGAGGGTCTGATTGTTAAACAAGGAGAACCAATTGTCCAACAGTTCTTATTAATTGATTCGGGTAACTGTACCTGTGTGCATTTTATGCAACTGAACTTTATTTCGCCACTTTGTTTTGAGTGTTCCCGACAATGGGGCAAGTGGGATACATATTTGTCAAACTGAAGGCATATCATAGAGGGGTAAATCATAATTTATGATTTCTATATAATTGATTTGCAAAGGCTTATGATCAATATTTTCGAATTGGTTGTTCTTGGAGCCAAATATTTGAGTGATCAAAGCTTAATTAGTGTGTCAACTTAATTCTATCTGTTTGCAGAGAGGAGATAGAGAAGCAAAAGGCTCATGAGCGGTACATGAGGTTGCAGGAACAGGGAAAAACAGAACAAGCAAAAAAAGATTTAGGTAATATTGGAAACAGATAAATTCTAGCTCCATTTTTTGGCAGTTTATTGAAATTACATTAGGCATGTAATAATATGCTAACTGAATTTTCTCAATTAGTATACGCATATATTTTTGCTTAAGACTATCATATTTTATTGTCTTTATATTTCATTGCTGATATGTGGCTCCACTTATTGGTGGCTACAAACTAGATGTATGTTGTGCCTAAAGTTGAGTAAAAATTAGTTGGAGAGAATATTATGTCTGCATCTCTTGTTTTTGAATATATTCAACATTCCTTTATTTCTGTAACAATGATACAGTAGAATTGTGTGCAATCAAGTTGTATAGACCAATTATAGACTTGTCCAGGCCATCCGTGAATAAATTTTTCAACTGAGGTGGTGAGATATTGCTTGTACAAGTATTAGAGGATTATATTGGATATTAGCTAGACATTTAGCAAGACAAAGAATTTAGATTGGAACTTTGTAAGGGGTTTGGGATTTTTGTCTACTTTGTTGCTCGGTTAGCGTCGTTTGGTGGTGGTGAGTATGGATCTGATCATGTAGCCATGCTTGGTTCTAAATGTCTTTCGATGGATTGGAACTTGACTATTCTTTTGATCACCTCTGAACATCATCTCTATTTCACTGTTTCATTCTTCTATTTAAATTGTTCTTGCAGAACGCTTAGCCCTGATTCGCCAACAAAGAGCAGAAGCCGCTAAGAAGCGAGAAGAAGAAAAGGCTGGTATGTAGCCCAAACTGTGTTCCCCTTTGTGATACACCTGCTCTGCCTCTCCTGTTTTCTTTGTTCAAGGCTGGAGTAGTGCTATCTAAATCTTGATGATCCTCTTTTTGCCCTCTGTACTGATAGTGATCTATGATTTTCTCAGCCAGGGACCAGAAAAAAGGCGAGGGACGCAAGTGAAATAAGTTATGGAGAAGCCCAGTAGATTCACTTGGGCTGCTTATTTTTAATGTTTGACCTTTTATGTATTATCTGTATCCCAAGCTAGCTTAAGTTACCGAAGTTTTTGCTTTCTTATTTGACATGACTAGTGTATTTATAAACTGTCAGTTTGTTTCGGTGTCAAGTAAAACATGGTGTGGGGGAGAAAACATCTCTTGGTCATTGAAACTAGAAGTTTTAATAATCTCAATATAGGGTTTGGTTGAGGTTGACATGGGGATACACAGAGTATCCTTTGTGTGCATTGCTTGTTCAACTCACTTTTCCCTGTATAATTTGTCGTGCAGTTGTTTTGGTGAGCGGTTCAAACGAACTTACTGTTTCATGTACCCAAGGTTTCTATTTTGGGACAAACAAAAGGATATCGACAAGATGTTTTTACAACATGCCATCGAAGCTAGATAATGTCCAATGGGCCGTGCTGGCCTGGCCCATCTCATATAAACTCGAGCTTTTAATGTATTTTTGTTGGGCCGGGCCGGGCCGTTTAATTTATCGGGCCGTGTCGTTCCGGTTCATTTAATAAAATCATTGATTCCGGCCCCATGTCCATATTGAAAAGGGCTGGGCTGGGCCGGGCTTGTGTCGTGCCCATGCTCGTGCTCATGCCATACTCGAGCCCAAGAACCAACCCATTTAATTTGAATTTTTTTCACTTGATTTCTTTTTTTAACTAGATAATTCAAATTATAAACATTAAAAATATAATTAGAGGCAAAAAATGATGAACTATTTGAAAACATTAATTAATCAAATATCTAAATAATGTGAAAGGGCGGAGGGCAAAAAGTGTTTAAGTCCACAAAGTCCACTTCAACTTTTCATCTTTAAACAACTTATTATTTTATATGTGAAGAAATATTTTGCCTTGATTATAAGATAAGCGTATATGTTATATGTACTGATTAGATATCAAGTCTAATGTTGTTTAATTAATTTGTAGTTGATATATTTAATTAATTAAGGACCCAAGTAATTTCCCTAAAATGAAAGATATCAAATATATGTTTATGATTAAAAAAAAACCAGATAAATAATGACATTAGATGTCAAATTATTGCATATGACTTTTGAGAAAGAAAAAAATGTTAAGTGGGCTGGGCTTGGGCTCGTGCCATGCTTGAAGCGGGCTCGGGCCAAGCTCGGTCCATGTTAGGCCATAGGCCGGCCCGGTCCATTGGACCTCATTTTTTAATCCTAGCCAGGCCCAAGTTTTCGTGCCATGCTGAGCACAACCCATTAATATTCGTGCTAGTTTCGTGATGTGCCTCATTTAAACAGGCTAGGCTCGTGCCGTGCTAGACCAACCTGTCCTGTTTGACACCTCTAATCAAAGCTACACCACAATGATAGGCCTACTCATAGCTAGGTACCAGATCCATCATAAATGTATATATATTGTTCTCACCATCTATATGCGGAAAACTTGAAACTTCCTCTAATTAAATGGAGACAAATACCACTAGATCAAGGTCTAGTCGATGACATACAATGCTTCTTTTAGCTCTACAAGTTGGTATCTTGATACCTATCTCTCTCCCATGTTTAGCTAAACCCTCCTCCTTTCTTTTTCATTGAACTCTACACCTTATCTACCTCAATCTCAACCAAATGCCACTTGAGCCAAGAAGTAGCATCGGTCCAACAACATCCGATTTCTAAACGAATAAAAGAACAAAGAATCTATGAAGTTTCGGATATGATTGAAATGGAACTGTAGCAAGTTGTGGACGGTGGGTTTTTGATTGGCAGCATATCTGTTGATCGTCCATTTGAGGTTAGAGAAAGTGAGAGAACCTGGTCTTAAACCACTGTTCAAGCAAATTACAAGCTGGAGAAAGAAGGAAGATACCTTGATGCTTGATTTGGTTTGTTTACATCAATTGGGCGGCTACATGATCCACAGACCTTTTAAATTTTTTATCTTTATGCATGAATGTTTCTCAAATTTGGAATGTTCTTTGTGCTTTGCTTTTGTCCATGCTCAAGTTTTCTGTAATCAACTTCTTGTTTTGACAACTTTAGGCATTTTCACAGAAGGTGAAAATGCAACAGAAAACACTAAATTATAAAGTGAGATCTACAATCTTAAAGACATCATTAGCAGCCTCATGAGAGAATTACATTCAACCCCTCTACACGTTGTGGAGAAGTTCTCTTCTCACTAAACAAGTAGTCTAAACCAAACGCTGTTGACCCAAGCAAGCTTGTAGTTTTCGTTTTTCGTTCTGTTAATCGGATTGGAGGAACCGAACTTTGGACATTTTCCTACATCAAGAAGAGAAATATCATTAGACCAAATAAGCTCGCAGTCGACGTGGTAGTTACGACTTGATCTTGGGTGTAGAAGTTCTATGGACAAAAGGACAACTCCACCATGATTTTGGATCCAAGAGTCATGTATCAATGCATAGCCCCCTGACTTTACACAATTGTAGATGAGACCTGTTTTCTTTTTTCCAAATATTATTTGCCTCAACTATTTAAAAAACTCTCACATGGCAAAAGAAATCAACGCATAGAGATTTATATTTTGTTGGGGTCCAACATGCACGTAAGAATTGAATAATTAGGTTTAGTTAATTGTATATATGTATTTTTTCATGAAAGACAATAGGGCAGTTAAACATCAGCCTCTGTATCTAGACTCTTTGATAAGTAATGGATGCAATTTAAATATGCCTAAATTTTGGTTTAAAAAATTGAAAATTGAAAATGTTCGGGCTGCGCGGCATCCTAAAGAAAAAAAAACATAGGAATTATAGTGTTTTGAAGTTGGAAGAACTCTAATAAAATAAAAATAAACATAAGTTCAATTCATTAAGACGGTGTATTGTCACTGGTGGATCCATGAACTTTTTAGCAAAGGTGAAATATCGATGATATCGGAAATATCGATAGTCCAAAAACATGGAAATTTCGATGGAAATATCGTGATATTATCGATATTGATAAAAATTGAATAAAAACTACGGAAATTGTAAGAAAAACTTGGAAATTTTTATTGAAACTTTGGAGAATGTTTATTTAGTCAATTATCTATTAGTTTATAAAAAAAAAATGCATTACATGATGGATTTAACTGATTTAAGTTGATTATACAGCAAGCTGGCAAACACTGTGAGTATAGAAAATATGTAGTAATTAATGAAAAAAAGATTAAACACACCATAATCATTTATATATAATGATTTACTACAATATTTTACACTTTATACATTGCATGATAAGATACATGAGTGACTTAGTACCACATAGAGTTCCTATGATGTTCAAATTTTTCACTATCTTCATCATCTCTATGTGTAGAATAAGTGTATTGTGAAGAGTATTCATCAAATGATAAATCCCAAAATAGTTTTGCATGTAATTGTTAACATGTCACCCATATAAATATAAATATTTTAGCATATTATCACTAAAACATGAGTGATATATGGTGGTTAAGGTGTTGGAGGAGTAAAATGGAAGGGGTTCAAATCCCTTGTGTTTTTTTTTCCTCCCTTTTTTCCCTTTTTCCCCCCCTTTACATCGATATTTTTGATATTTTAGTGATATTACACCGATATTTTGACAAAATATTGCTAAAGTGTGAGTGAAATTATCGACATCGATATTTTCCGATATTATCGTCAATATTGTCGATATTTATACAATATGTGCATGGATATGTTCCGAAATATCCGTGATTCGAAAAAACCAAAATATCCTCGATATTTCATCGATATTATCGATATTTCAGACTATGGCAGCACCTATAATGACTTTTTCGATGAAGGAAAATGCAGCTACACCTCTTTGGGCCTTAATAGGTCCGCCACTGATACACGCCCTTTTACACATGAATTTGATCTTCCTCCATATATATTAGAGTAGTCAAATACTTTGTAAAAAAAAAAGGCATAACTTAGTTGAGTATAATAATTGGAAAGAAAAAAGGAAAAAGATGGTATGAAGATTATCCTTTCTTGTGGTTCATTTATCACCAGTTGATTAAAATGGAAAGGAAAAAGGTACCAATGAGTATCATTCTTTCTGCAATATACAGAAAGAAAAGAAAGAAGATTAAATACTCAATTGGCCCACCACCACCTCCATCCTATGTTTTTTGGGTGAGAAGAGAATGGACCACATGACAAAAGCCAAAACTTTATCCCTATAAGAATAATAATAAGAAATGTAATTTACAACTCCAAATGTGAGGAATATCCTTTTGGCATTTTGAACCTTCAGTTTATGTTTTCTTATACTCTTTGCTGTACTTTTGGGTGATGTGGATTGTTGACATTAACTCTTATGCCATTTAATCCTTTTTTTTCTTCTTTGAATACAGTACTAAATAATAATTTCTTATTAGGACTTTATTTGATATAGAATTTTACTGATTTTTCAGGAATTTCTAAAAGTTATAATTGAATACAACAATACTTTTATAGGATTTTTAAAATTTTAATTAGATAGCCAATGAGGTCTAGCTAGGTGGAAAAATGCATTGATTTGCACGACTGTGGTTTCAGGTTCGAACCCTCATGACACATTGACAATATTGGTGTGAGAAAACCCCCCTCAACTAATATCGTTTGCATTTAAAAAGAAAATTCATTCAAGTACACTCAAACTTCTAAATTTGAGAAAAATCTTTGAAATTCCAATGAATTATATATATTTTTTTTCTTGACAAACTACTTACAACGAGCTAATAAATAATAAAATTACATTGTTACAATCGAACTCATTACAAATATAATATCGTCTTCGTCATTCATATGAGTCGAATCTAAAACCTCCTCGAACAAAGTTGATGCAAATACCGCTAGTCCAAAGATCAAACAAATTTCATATTGAAGGAACCTTTTTAGCCTTTTTT